ATTAATTTGATTTTTTTAAATTCGTTTATAAACTTTTGATAAGATGGACAACAAAAAAATGGGTAGATAATTGTTGTAATCGTCAATAGAGCCTTTATTCTTAAACAGAGGTACTACCTTTGCAGTTTTGAAAACTTAAGGATAAGTATTAAAAGATATTGATTGGTTTATTCAAGTCGTTAGAGGTTAAACAATTATATTTTTAATTGTTTTAATAATTTTTGTGTTAAATCTATCAGGATCTTTGCTGTTACTATTTTTTATTTCTGAAATAGCTAAGTCAACTTCACTAAAGTTCACTGGCTGAAAACTAAAACACGGGATTTTTCCTGTGGGATACACTTTAAATAGTGATCAAGAGTTAGCTTAGGAATCTCAAGTTCATTTATAACTCTCTCAGCAGTTGATCAAAAGTGGCTATTAAAATTATCTGCCTTGAGTTTAGAATTATCAGTGAAAACATTTTTATGTTTGTTACCATTAATGAATTTTCAGATAGCTTGAGAGGTTGAGAGGAATATCTATATAATATTTTTACCTAAAATCGATGATTATTTCACAGATTGACTGGGTCATTATACTAGCACTAATATCTATGTATGAATTTTTCAATTTTTAATAAATGTTTTAATCGCTTTTGTCAAACATTTAATTCTTTTCTTGCGAAAAATCAATAAACACTTATATATCAAAATTTTAAATTTGTAATCCAAATATGTAAAAATATAAGCTTTGTACATCATTTAGTCTGATCCGAAACCCCATAAATTCGAGTGAAACAGTATTACCTGCAAAAACAAGGTTTAACAACTAGATTAAAAACGGGCAAATCCAAAAACTAGTAAAATAAAAAATGCAAATTTTACAACTGCTTAATCGCGTTTCAAAAACAAATTAATTTTCCTAGCGGAGCTGGCAAAATACCAAACAGTCCATTCGAAATTTCGCCCAATTTCAAGGGAGAATTTTCTCTTCGGCTAATGAAAAATTGTTTTCCCCAATAATACATCTGGAGCTGAAAGTATAATCCACACGGGCAATTACATTGGGTTTTTCCTAAGACCAAAGTCAGGAGCGACAAATATTCTGCCGGGGTTTAACATTTTAATATATGTAGACAAAATTATCCAACTTTAAATTTGCTTTAACTAAGATTACTTTAAATATGATAAAATTTTGTAAGGATTATAATAAAAATGGTGTAAAAATAATGAGATTATGCATTATTTGATAGTTTTTTTTTTTTTATTTAGAAAAGAATGTCGCATCTACCATGGGTTATACATTGTGATACCCCCGATAGGGGCTGTACGACCTTGACGTATAGGATAGGGCTATAGTCTGTTTTTAGTCAGTTTTTAAGGTTATAATATATGTATTAGTATGCGATTACCTGAATAGAATAATAATGTTTTCTTTTTAAATATGGATCATTTGTTGGTTTGTCTATTTTAATGTGGCTCCCATCAATTACTCCAATAACACTTAAAAAATTGTTTTGTCCAAAGTTTCTCTTAATACACAATAAATACACAAACGACCAACCTACTCCGACCGAAACCAAGCACTTCCTCTATGCTGACGATCTTGCAATATGTGCTCAAGGAAATAGTTTTGAAGAAGTGGAGGAGAAACTCGAAACTGTCTTAAAAACAATGACAGCGTACTACCTGCAGAATTCTCTGAGACCTAATCCCTCTAAAACCCAAGTCTGCGCTTTCCACCTTCGCACAAAGGAAGCCAAGCGAAAACTCCAAATTGTGTGGAATGGTAATACATTAGAACACACAAACCAACCTATATATCTTGGAGTAACTCTGGACCGGTCCCTCACCTACAGACAACATTGCATAAAAACAAGAGGGAAAGTAACAACTAGGAACAGCATACTCAGAAAGCTAACGGGAAGTAAATGGGGAGCACGTCCTGGCGTTTTAAGAACAACGGCACAGGCACTGTGTTTCTCAACTGCTGAATATGCATGCCCCGTTTGGAGCAGATCTGCCCACACCAAACAAGTTGATACTGCGCTAAATGAGACATGCAGAATAGTAACGGGGTGCATGAAACCAACGCCACTTTCAAATCTATATAGAGCAGCGGGTTTTGCAGAACCCTCAACACGCAGAGGCGCTGCAGAACACATAGAGAAAATTAAACAGATCGCGGACGATCGGCATGCCCTATACAAAGCTCGAACACCACGAAAGCGACTAAAATCTAGGAAAAGCTTCCTTGGAACAGTGAAGAATGAACCGCCTGAGTATTTTCCACTTCCCCAGGTTCAATGAACCGGCCAGACCCTAGACTTTAAAACGTGGAAAACCTTAAATAGGATAAGAACGGGGGTTGCTACAGTAAAATCAAACATGGCAAAATGGGGAAAAATAAACCAAGATGATGTGAACTGTGACTGTGGAGAAACAGAGAATCTTATGGAACATCTTCTTACATGCAGAAACTGTCCTCATCGATGAACCCTTGAAGATTTGTGGCTCGCCAACAAAGATGGAATCGACGTAGCCCGATACTGGGCCGAAATTTTATGAATGACATGTCCGGACACGATAAAGTAAAGTAAGTTTAGAAAGCGAAAGTACTTGGGCAAGATTGAATTAATAAAATTGTGCTCGATATATGCCCTTCATTTTATCAAAGTATATTAATGTTTGTTCATATTCTCCAAGCTTTCCATTGCCTCCCGCTTGGTAATGAAAATATTGTGAATATCTGAAGTGGTTCGCAATATCTTCAGCAACAGCATGACACGAAAGTATTCAATACATTCACAATCGTTGTAACTTGACACCGTTTCTTCAAGATAATTCTTATTTTTAGGCCTTATACGTTCATCTAGAATTTGTAACAAATCCTCATCCGACGATAATTCTTCAATGTTAAACACCTCTTCATCAGAGGAAGAACTTTCAGAAGATTCCTGAAAATATATTTTTTTCACTTCATAAGTTATAATAAGTAATAATTATTTAATCATATGTATATCAAGTATATTGCATAATTCTGCGAAAAACATTAAGAGTGACAGAGAAGAAAGAAGGAAACAATGGATAACAGACTCCACGTGGACTAAAATACAGGAGAGGAAGTGCTTAAAAGCCACAGGACTGAACAGTGAAAGTGATAAAGTGGCCTATAAAGCGCTGAACGGTCAAATAAAACGACTCTGCAAAAAGGACAAGAACACACACTTGAACAAAATCTGCATGGAAATAGAAGGGCATAAAACCAAAACTGATACCAGAGACATGCTTGAAAAAATAAAGCAGATAACACGTTCCTTTACATAAAACTACCTTGCTATCAAAGATGATAACGGAACTCTACTCACTTCTAAAACAGATATTTTACACAGATGAAAAGAATACTGTGGACGACTGATGATGGAGGAAAGCACAGACGCCCCATCACAACAAGAAGATGCTAGTTTTGCGACAGAACCTGACGTACTCAAAAGTGAAGTTGAAGCAGCAATTATGAGGCAAAAAAAGTCAGAAAGCTGCCGGTCCAGATAACATACCTATTGAAATGATTTGGGCCCTAGATGACGTTGGAGTGGATATAATACATCAAATTTGTCAAAGATTGTGGGAGACAGGTAAATGGCCTGAGGACTGGACACAATCACTATATATTCCCATACATAAAAAGGGAGTGAAAGATTTATGTAGGAACTATCGCACAATTGCTCTAATTGCGCATTTCAGTAAGATACTCTTACACATAATTCTCGAAAAGATAAAGCCCTTTTTACTACCTAACATTGCGGAGAAACAAGCAGGTTTCGTCCCCGCACGTGGTACTAAAGAACAAATTTTAAACGTACGGCAGATTGTAGAAAAATCCAGAGAATTCAACATCACAACATATTTGTGCTTCATAGATTATAGTAAAGCTTTCAATTTGGTCAACTGGAGTGAAATGTGGCAGGTTTTGTCTGAAATCGGAGTCCCCAATCATCTGATACTGCTAATTAAAAGCCTGTACAATAACAATTATGCCAGAGTTACAATAAATGGGGAACTAACCGATAATTTCAGGGTCACAAAGGGTATGCGACAAGGCTGCATACTAAGCCCAATTCTATTTAACATCTATGGTGAATGGATAATGCGGAAAGCTACTGAGGACTGGAATGGTGGCATCACCATTGACGGGAAGAAGATTTGCAACTTGAGATATGCAGATGATGCTACTATCCTCGCTAGTTCTGAAGTTGAATTGATTCACCTGATAAAACGAGAATCATGATAATTGACAGAGCTAACAACAATTAAAATCATCTGGTCATGATAAACAATATCGCTGTTGTAGATAAATTTGTGTATCTGGGCTCATTAATAATCAACAAAGGAGGCTGTACTGAAGAAATAAAGCGGCGGTCAGCAATCGCAAAAAGCGCTATGGCAAAATTAACAAAAATTTGGAAAAGCCATGAAATAACTACCGATTCAAAAATAAGACTAGTAAGAAGTCTAGTTTTTCCAGTTTTTACTTATGCATCTGAATGCTGGACCCTTACTGAGAAAAACAAAAAGAACATAGATGTGTTTGAGATGTACTGCTGGAGACGAATGCTGAGAATACCATGGGTGGCCCGAAGAACAAATGAATCCATACTGGACCAGCTAAACATAAAGGAAAGACTAAGAACACAAATATCAGAACAAATAATAAGCTATTTTGGACATGTGCTTCGAAGAAATGGTCTTGAAAAACCTACCATCCAGGGAAAAGTAAAGGCAAAGGAAATAGATGTAGATCTCCCACACGATACACGGACCATATTGTTGCTACCATTGGCGCTCCATTGTCAGAATGTGCTAGAATGGCAGAAGATAAAAAAAACGTGGAGAAACATTGGGAAATTTAGCTAATAGCTTCATGATATCACGATACCTGCATCAGGTTAATGACTAAGAAGAAGAAGATATCAGGTATAATTACCATTTTGGATATTTAGTCCAAAAATTTATTTAACAATGAATAATCAATGTAAATACACCAAACGTTGGAATTGAACAATAACCAATCAATAATTAGTTCAATATAACTTATGAAGGATATTTACAATATATATTTCTAACACATTTATCGGTTAATAATAAGAAACCTTATTTATTTATCATTAGTACACCTGCGTCAAACTATTAGTTGGAAAAATAATCGTCAAACCAGAATGACTATTTGAAAACGGTCGACAAATCTGCAAGAACATCTGACCAAACAGTGCGAACACAATTATATTTTATTAGCTTATTTGGATTGGTAGCATAATGATGATGATGATGAGTTAAAAATTGTATCTTCTTTAGTTGTATGTAAATATTTAATTATTAAAAATATGTAACAATTTTTCTACCAATTGCAGTATAATTGTTACGGTTTTAGTGTAAAAAGTAGTGAATCGTGGAAAATATCCATTGCAAAAAATCTTTCATTTTCAATCCCCCTTATCCCGTTGTAGGAACCGCTCTGGCACAAGAGGTTCGAGCAATTTCCGAAGGATATTCGGGTGAGATTGCAGAGCCAAACCTAATGATTTCCTAATTCTTTACTGCCACACAACACCTAACGGTGAGAAGAATTAATTTTTCAAATTGAACCGAAGAAAAATGGGTTTTAATTTACAGAAACTGTGGTAAATTACGAATTTCTACACGAAGAACTGTTTAAAGACAAAATAGCATTGTTTTCTTGAAAATTTCCTGAAAAGAATGTTCACTCGTCTGGTTGTTTGTGATGTTTTTCTTATAGATTCTGTTATTTAGTTTTAGTTTAAAGTAAAGTTTGACAAAATGCTATGAATAGACATTAGTTCAATACTATATACACTAAATAATATACGAGAAGGAATATTCACATCACTTCAAACCCTCCATTCTATGACACGTGTTTTCTCTAACTGTTACTTTTCTGACTTAACTTATTTCTCTCATGATAATGAAAATATATTTGAAAAAAATACCGTGTTGTTCTTTTTGGTGAATATTAACTCTTAGGTAATAAAACTTTGATAAAAAACTTAGTAAAAACATTTATTTATTAAATAAGTATAATTTTTACAAAGTAGTGACTAGTTCAATATTTTGTATGTCCGCCTTTGGCTGCTAGAAGAGCTTGAAGACATCTAGGCATGCTTTCGATACAGGTTTTAATAGTTTCCTGGAGGTGTGGATTATAATACCATATTGGGTTCCCTTTGCAACTGTGCCAAAAGTCTCGTCTTGAATACTGTACGGTACTGGTCTTGTCTCATCGTGTTTTTCTACCACGTAGAGACGGCCTGTACCTTTGCCGGACACCACAGACCAGACCATAAGTGACGGTGAGTGTTTGATGTTAAGCACAATGCATCCGGCTTGTATTTCTCGTTAGGACACCTCTGCACAAACTTCATTTTTTCTGTCAAAACTTGAAAAACGGAGAAGCAAACCTGAAATCAGCAACATTTTTAAGAAATGCTTAAGTTTTATTACTGTTCATATTAATATTCAAGCAAAACAACACAAATATACCTTTTTGCAGTCTTCCACTGTCCAGTTTTTGTAGTTTTGTGCCCAATTAAAACGTTTCTTTATCATAGCCGGAGTAAGCCTTATCTTTCGACCTGGTGTCCTAGCTAGCAGTTTGTTTTCGACAAGCCAAGTTTTTTTGGTTAGTATCAAAGCAACTTAATACATGGTTGATTAATTACAGACGGATTTTTGTGCTAAGTTCAATGCTGCAAAAGCCAATGCATTTAATATTGACAAAGTCGCCTTATGATATGGTATTAGGGCTACAATTTTTTATTATTTTGTATTTGCAAGTATATTTATTCAAAGTACAACTAGCAAAAGTCGTAAGTTACTCTTTATTTAAAAGATTTAATAATTGTATCTGTGTTATGTTATACCTAGCTGTGAATGCTGTTAAATATAGTGATACAAACAAGGTTTATTTTAAAAATTATAAAAAACATGCTTAAATAGTATTATTTATTTTTCTTTCCCTTTTTTGAAGTCTCTTTAGGATGATTATCATTATTCTTCACTGGTTGCCAGTCCAATGGTTTTTCCCTATATAGAGGCCAAGGTGGAATGGTTAATAAAGCAGCTAATACGAATCCGGCACCTAAAATGTATACTGTCTGAGAGAATTGTTGAATAATATAGCCCCAAATGAGACCAACTGCTCCAAATAATGTTATGATAATTCTAGATAACTTTTCTGTCCTGGCTTGCCCTTCAAAGTCCATATGGGTAGTTCTAGATAACTTTTGGTGTAGATACAAGCATGCTATTTAGGGTGGCAGTGAATAAAATTAAAATAGCTATGATGGTAACCAACGTTCTGAAAGGACATGGTACATGAAGAAGAAGAAGATAACTTTTCTGCCCTGGCTTGCATTTTGAGAATCTTCCACTGTTGTACTTTGAATAAATATACTGGCAAATAACTTGCAAATACAAAATAATAATTTGTATTTTGAGAAAGATTTCCGAAGTGGAATTGAAACGTCAATAAACGTATTTACAATGTTTATTTCAATAGGTTAATAAATAACCTTGCAGGGTAGTAAATTATTAACATTTTTTTTTGTTTCAGGATGTCTTGCCAACCTACCACCCCTTTTTACAATGGACATGAACAACTTAGTTCTTTCGGAAAATACTCCAGTAGATTCTGTGATATACACGTTACAAGGAACTGATCCTGAAAACAGTCCGGTCCATTACGGAATCAGCGGTACAGATACATTGAATGTCAATTCAACGACTGGAGAGGTGACAGTGGTCAAACCGCTGGATTATGAGGTAAGCGGAGGAAATATTTTTGTACTCTTGTGGATCAAAATGTATTATAAGTTTATTACAAATGTTTATGTTAAAGTCTAGGCAAATTCTGACGATAATTGTTGCCTGTATATATGTACTAAATATCAAAGCAACTAAATAGTCCTTGCTGCTATTGTCATTAGTATCTATTTTGGTCAATTTAACAATATATATTATAATCTGTAGTATTGTAATCAGCTGTAGAATGATCGTTCGTTTTTCTACTTTTACTCCTTTCTAGTTATATGATAAACAGTCATTTTTCACAGATATGATAAGAAAGCTTGTTTAAGATTATACTAGCAGAGTTAAGGGTAGTTGGGCCAGACAGACACGTGATGTCGATAAGCATTGGATCTACATTACCGACCTAGCAGTCCCCACTTAGTCAAGATCCTAATCCCACCAGGGGGCGCAATTTGTCAATGTGTTGTCAACGTGAAAATGGCGTCAATTCTTCTTCTTTTCGTCTGTCCTCCTCAAACGTGAAGATGGCGTCAATTCTTCTTCATTTTCGCATGTCATCCCTCAAACGTGAATATGGCGTCAGGGCAGCAGGGCTACGAGCGCAAAACAGGTCATTTTCCATGTAAATCTCCGTAAGAAATTCTAAGGTCCATTCTGGTCATTTTGACGCTTTTTGTGGTGGAGGCGTGACGGCTTATCGAATGGTGACGTGTGAGATATATGATAATATGTTAACACAAAAAACAAAGATGGCGACGTATAGTCAAAAGGACACTAAGCTTGTAACGTCTAAACAGCTCAACGTACAACAACGTGCAAGGTTCGATGGAAAAGGGAGGGGTATCGAATATGTTAAGACAAAAATCAAGAGCAAAGACTTTGCCAAAACGGTACTATATCGTATCTCTAACGTATTATACGTAGTTATCTGACTAATAACATCTCTGATGTTATTAGTCAGATATTTCTTCCCAACAATTTAAATGGTGATAATTATTTGCAGTTCTTGGCAAACAATTTACAAGAGTATTTGGAAGAAGCGAATATTGCAATAATGAAGTCCGGGAATACCTTTGCAGGCAGTATCCTGGTCGGTGGATTGGAAGAGGTTGTGACGCACCTATTTCTTGGCCACCCAGAAGTCCAGGTCTTAACCCCACGGACTTTTGCTTTTGGAGGTTTATGAAAAATAAAGTGTATTCGGTAACAATAGAGGACTAACAACAATTGAGGGTTAGAATAATTGAAGCTGCAAATCAATTTCGTCAGAAAAATATGATTTTTCAGCGCATTCGGTTTTCCGTATTAAAACGATACCGAATGTGCATTGAAGAAAATGGGAGTCATTTTGAACATTTATTGTAATATCATATTTATAGAAGTTATAGACATTTTTGTACTTGCTAATTCATTTAAGCCATTTATTTAATTGCACGTAATTCAAGGTTAATGAAAAGGACCGTAACTCAATAAAACTGTTTTTTGAAAAAAAGTGATAAGAGGCAAAAAATTTTTAAAAATATAATGTGTAAATGTTTTATTCATTCTCATAAATTACATTCCAGAGGATTTCCCTTATTACATACAAACATACCCTTGCTTATCTACCTACCAAACGATACATTATATTATACATACTAACCTGTGTTTATTTTTCCAGAAAAACAACACACTTAACATAATTGTCAGCATCGAAGATGAAGTGGAAGGCGGAGGGAAAAACAATATCGTGGAAGTTCCAATAACAGTCATTATATCCGACGAAAATGATAACCCTCCGGAATTCATCGAGGTAAAAAAATATTGTTCTGTTTTTGGTTTGAGGTATCTACTGCATGAAATTTAATATATCATTGAAACATATTGCGGAAACACTTTGAGAGGGTTTTACGTTTTTATTTATTGTGGAATTCATATACAGGTTTGAAGAGATCATTGAAAAGTTTAGGAATTTAATAAATGTATGTATTGGTATTTTGTGAAATTAAAAAAAACGGTACATGTTTTTTATTTGAAATAAAATAGGAAAACCTCTAAAAATATGTAGAAGTATAGAGTATGTGTTTAATAGAATTATGTACCATTTTTTAAAGTCTTGTTATTTGCTTGTAAAAAATTAACATCAAAAACAAATCTGGTATTATATAAGAAGGATACAAACTACAGTAATCTCTCTTTATAACGATTCCCTATATAATCATAATTCCTCTATAACGACGAAAATAGTAAACGTTGGTTGGTTCGTCATAAGGACAATGTATTAATTCTTTCTCTATACCGATATCGTTCTTTCTTTATAGCGATGACTTTTCAGCGTTCTATAGTCGTGACTACCTGTTATCACACAGATGTTGTCATCTATTGACGACTTTTCATTTCCAGTTTAAGTTGTCTCTCAGTGTGTCAACAGTCAAAATGTTTTCGAAAAAGTGTAAAGTGCTCTCGGTGGAGGAAAAGTAATCGATAACTCGAGCAATAGAGAAAGATGAAAAGTAATCGGATGTCGTTCGCCGTACGGGGCTGTCTCAGTCAACTATGGCTAAGATATGGAAGGACGTAAAAAAGTGGCTTGCAGCGAAGATGGAGGACGGTAGCAGGAAGAAGTTGCGGAAACCTCAGCACAAAGATTTAGATCGCGCTATGCTTTAGTGGTTGCAGTAGGAGCGTGTGCACCATATTTCACTTTCTGGGCCTGTGGTCAGGATAAAGACTGAGTTTTTTGCAACTGAGCTTGGAATTGAGAAATTCAAGGCATCTGAACAAGTGGAAACTGCGGCACAAGATCAACTACGGACAAATCAGCGGAGAGGCTCGCGATGTTAACAAAAACGTAACGGATGATTGGCTAGAAAACATGTGGAGTGGACTGAAGGCACGATATGCGTCAGACGACATTTTCAAATGCGAATGAGATTGATTGACACCAATCAGAACTTTAAAATTTAAATCGGAAAAGTGCGTTGGAAGAAAGCTGGAAAGGAACGCATTACAGTTTTAGGGGTCGCTAACATGACAGGTTCGGTGGAGCGAAAACTTTTAGTGATAGGGAAGTCGAAAGACCCACATTACTTTAAAAACATAAAAAGTCTACGACCTATAAAGCAAACAAGAGTGCTTTAATGACTTCGGAAAAATTTTAAGAAGCGCTAAGAAAGTGGGATATCGAGCTTAAAGGGAAAAAAATTCTTCAACTTATAGACAATTGTCCTGCTCATCCTGTACTGTGTGACCTTCAAAGCATTGAACTTTATGTTCTGCTAGCAAATACAACGAGTGTCCTTTAGCCCATGGACAAAAGTGTCATCAAGAGTTTAAAAAGCCATTACAGGAGAAGACTTTTGATGGAATTGGTGGAGAACAATGGCGATCTTAAACTAAATATTTGTGACGCCATCCTAATGATTAGTAAATCCTGGGACGAGGTGACGAGCAAATACAATAAAACATTCCTTCAAACAAACAAGATGGCTGGAAGATCAAAGATTGACTGATGATGAAGATTACCTGCCATTAGTTGTTTTGGCCAGACAGTTTAACTTTATTATGGCCGAAAGAGCTAACAGATTTTGAAGAAATGTAGCTACAACATCTGGGTTTTCTGACAAGGACATCCTACAAGCAGTTCGTGTCGAAGAAAAAGAAAACAGGGACCCGGAAGTGGAAGTACTTCCGGGTCACTGTTTTGGAAATGTGTATTGCTTTCACTTCCCGGAAGTGGAAGCACTACTACTACATCATTTAAAACAAGGACGATGAAAACTACCAGTTTCTCTTAATCTTCTTACCTTTCTTTCAAATACTTCTTTGCCATAATGTCTCTTGTCAGAATATCTTACAGAATATCTACGTGAGGCAATAGCGACATTTTGGTGACATTTAAAATAAACTCCAATCATATCATGCAATTCTGCATTTGATATTCTCATCACGGATTATTAGTACTCACTATATAATTACTAATATTACCAATATTAATATCTATTGAAAAAAGTGCAATCTTCTATTCGGATTATAATATAACACTTTCGAAAAAACTATTTTTAATCATATAAAATAACAATGATCAAAATAGATATCAACATTAAGATTATTTTGCTATAAAAAGTTTGAAAGTACCTACTGACTTATTTTTTAATTTAATTTATAATACAGGGTGAGTCAATACTATACTTATTTATGTTTATGCGTTTTTATTCATATCTCGAGTTCGACAAAAGCTATTAACATGCGGTTTGCGCCTTTTTATTACCAATTTAATCCAGTTCTATTATAGTTTACAATACATAGGTGTTTCCATTAAACATTTTGAAGAAAAAACGAATTTTAATTTTTTCTATTCGAAAGTACCCTCTACCTATGACAATTAAAATGAATGTAATTATTTTATAGTAGATGTAAGTTAATTCATCCACACTCTTTCTAATGACACTAATTTTGTTAAAATCGGTTAATTCAATCCAAAGTTATAGGTATTTATCCACAAATACTTCCCCACTCTTCATCACCCTTTATTTGAAAAAATAAAAAAAAAGTTGGTGAACAACTTTGTGAAGAATTAAGGCATCTTTCTAGTTTACTTATTTAACACTTGGTATAATTGAGCATATTTCTAAAAAAACTGGTTTTCAAAGTTTTCTTCACAGGTTACGCCCCCTAGCGGTTAAACCAGAAACTTAAAGTTATTTCCAGCGATTTCTCTTGGCCACTTTTACTAAGTAATTTTTTCTCCTAAAGTTATAGCATGAATAGTTTCTGATATATAGCCGAGCGATCGGCTTATTGGACCACCCGGTACATAGTGTTTCCAAAGAATGGAAGAATCTCTCAGTGACTTCAGCCATTGCCTAAACCTGGACTTTTGATATTGCAAGTAATGTGGAAGTGGTTATTCCTATTCAAACAATACTTTGTTTTGAGTGATAGTTGATCTCTACATTTGGTTAAAACTGCACAAACGACATTTTCGAGTAAATCTATATACAAGTCAAATGCCAAAGTTCCAGAAAGAAAAAATACCAACAAGTGCTTCATGTCTTATAATCGAAAAAGAACTTTCAAACCAAAATAGCAATTTATCGGGAATTAAAAACTTTTTTAACGACCTCTCCCAAACAAAATTGTTTCAGATTTTAAATTTCAGGTATCGATGGGTCAGCTTTTACACCTATCTACCTACGTATTTAAACAGTTCTTCCTATTTTATCACGTTTGGAAAGTTTGGAAAACATACATTACTTCTCTCTCGTAACTGCTCTATAAACTTTCCCATTTTACGACCAATAGTTACGATTTTTGCCCCTCTAAAAGTATCTGACCTGAATTGTTACAGGCGCCCTACGAAATCACCGTTAACGAAGATACGTTGCCGGGAGCGAAAGTGTTTTCGCAAATTATGGTGGTAGATAAGGACACTACAGGTTCCAATATAGAGGTGGAGTGTGTTAATTCACCGACTGATCCCGATACATGCGATGTCTTTAATATCGAAACGATCACTTCGGAACAGAATTCGTACACGGGAGCCATCACGCTCATGAAGAAACTGGACTACAACACTAAGAGCAGTTACCATTTTATGCTAAAAGCCTCGGTGAGTATATATTTTCAAATAATTAAAAGATAATTCTGATTTTTTATTAATATGCGATCATTGTTTAAAAAAAATTGAGATCTTCTGGCAAAAGCAAAATCAATTTTTAACCCCCTCTGTGGCTCAGTGGTAAAAGCGCCTACCTTTGAACCTAAAGGTCGTGAGTTCGAATCTCACCTGGGTGGAGAAATTTTCGTTTATTAAAAATTAATGAATGAAAATAATTTCTGTCCTTGTGCGATCGGTACTCACCGGAGGGACCGAAGACGTTCGGATACAATTAGCGTCTCTTAGCAAAGACAATGACGTCGACTTTGCTAAGTATCAAGACAATTACTCTACACCTACACACACTACACTAGGTACCTGACTGTAAAAAATTCACTGTACCATGCCAATGACCATTAGTTGTCGACGCATTAAACTCAATAAAAAAAATCAATTTCAAAAAGTTGTGCGTCATTTTATGATAAAAGCTATATTAAAATTATAATAAAACAAAAGAGATTCTTGTTCCTACAAGAAGTAGTTATTCGACTACTTCATGGTATTTTCATTTATAATTCTAGGCTGGAAAGTTCGTTTTATCACATTGCCATATATCCATACACTTTGGATGTTATTCTCTTCCAATTGCTTCCATATTTCCCTGTCCTGCGACAATGCCATCCACTATTTGCCCGTCGGTGTTCGTCTATCAATCTATCTTGGTCTCCAATCCAGGGTTCCCCATGTTCACCTGTCATCCTATCTAGCTATGTGGGCGGCTTATTGCCGTTTAATTTTTACCACCTACACGATGTTCCTGATTTTCGTTCTCCATCTTATTTCGGTGTTTCTACTTTTATCTCTTTCAGTTTTCAGTGGGAATGGAGCTGTTGTCTGTCTATTGTCCGGTTGTATGTCAATTATCGAAAATGGCCTATGTCCCATGTTCATCATCATCATCATCAACTCCAGGTGGTTCTTGGTTGTATTTACTATTTTTCTCCACTGTTGCTGCTTCTGTGCAGTTATCTCTCTTTGTTGTATATACTTCCATTTCTCGTAAATCGGTTGGCACTGTATCTTTTATCTTTTTCTTCTAGGGTGACGAACTCACCTTCTTCCATGGGGCCTTTTCCAAATTGTTTGTATTAAGCAAGATATATTGTAGGGCGAACTATGGTGCATGATCACAAACTATGAGCAAAAGTTTGTGAAGAATATCGTAAGCCTAATGAGCCATATGCTGAAGCTGTTTTTAAAAGTCATTTACAAAAGAATTTACTGGAAATGCGAGGAATAAAGTGCGCCTAATCGGTTTGGGTTTGTGAAATCCGTTGGTACAAGGGAAACCTTATTTAGCGTGCAGGTATTGTTTCAGAAATGTAGAGATGTCAGCTGTGATGTGTTTGCATGGCTGATTGACTACAAAAAGGCTTTCGATTGACGGAATATACCAAAAAATAATAGCTAACCTATATTGCAATCAATCAGCGGTGCTCCGAATAGATGAAGAATATACAGATCAGGTCAAAATCTCAAGGGGAGTGAGACAGGAGTGCTTAATTTCATCACTGATATTCAATCTCTACTCGGAGTACAGGAGTAAATGAAGTTAAGCTCAATAACCTGCGATATGTAGATGATACAATGGTGTTTTCCAATACCATAGAAAGGCTGCAAACTTAATGAACAAAATAACGGAAACAAGTAGAACAGCTAAGACAAGTAGAACAGAAAAGCAAGCTAATAATCATCAGCAAGGAAAATATATCTGAGCAAAATCTGTATGTGAACCAAATAAGAATTGAACGTGTCTCGCAGTACAACTACTTGGAAAACTATAATCAATGTGTCGTGAAACAATACCCAAGAGATTAAATGTCGCATCGGAAAGGCAAAAAGTGCATTATTTACTATAAGCTCTGTGTTCAAGAGCCATGACCTCACCCTAGAAACAAAAATAAGGCTTCTTAAATGTTATGTGTACTCAGTACTTCTCAACGGAGTAGAAACGTGGACATTGAAGGCGGAAACTCTATCAAAACTTCAGGATTTTGAGCTATGATTATACAGAAAGATCCTGGAGATACCATGGGCAAACAAAGTCACCAATGAAGAAGTACTATGGAGGATGAACACAACCGCGTATTTGCTTAACATCGTAAATTGCCATAAGCTGCAGCTACAAGACATATAATGAGAAATCAACGCAGATATGAGCTACTCCAATGCATTTTGCAAGGTAAAATTGAAGGGAAAAGAGCCTCAGAATGAAGAAGAATATCCTGGCTTGCTAACCTAAGAGCATGGTATAGAAATACCTCAATACAGCTATTGCAGAACGGACAAGCACCCTAAGAAGAAGAATTATGATATTATATATTATTACCTTTGCTACCCTTGACAGAAATCTTGCTTTAAACATCAAGGTTAAACACATGGTTTCTATACTATCGCTAATGAATAATATGTCCTGTTTCCTAGCTTCCACGTTCTTTTCTTAGCTGTTTTCGGCTGTTATGATCGCTCTCAGGTATACTTGGTCTTTTTCTCGTTTACTTTAAGACCAATTTACTTGGCCCCATTTTCAAATAGCATAAAGACTACCTCTGTACGTCTGGTGACTATTGTGTTTATTGCTTTTAGCTCCCTGTAAAACTGACAAGACTGACCGGTTCTGTGTTTTTCCTTAAGTTGTTGTACTCATTTTATTGATTGTTCTGAGGCTATTTTCTTGTGGCATTCATACTATTGTTAGTTAAACTGTCAACTTCCTATGTCTATAAATATTTTCTGACTTTCCAGTCGTTGCGGTACACTTCGAGATTTTTCGACATGTTCTAGATTTTTAATACCTCTTCTTTTCCAGCAAGGTTCTTTTTTTATATGGAATAAATCTTTCAGAACCATCGTAACAATATTGTTTTTTTCTCGAGAGTTTTTTCGTTTGTTTGAATTTTGAGTCAAAAAAAGTATTTTGCATCAAGGTAATATCCTCTTATATTTTCTAGGATGGAGAATTGACAAGTACCACGAATGTTAATGTCAACGTCGGCGATGTTCAAGATACTCCTCCATATTTCGTTGGTAATTTGACGGCAGAAATCAAGGAAGATGTTTCCATTAACACTCTCGTTATGACTGTACATGCTGAAGATGGTGATCGAGGAAACCCAAGGAAGATAGTGTATGAATTAGTGAACAGTAAGTATAGTTTGTTAATACGTTATTAAATAAGAAATGCCCATCGTCCTCGTCTTTCTTTTGCGGCGGCTGCTCTTTTTACGGTCGAAGGCCTTCCATCTCCTCTAGCCTACATCCATGGTAAAGGAACTTGTGGTGGGAATGCGTGTGTACGAAACGCTGATGGGACCGAGGCGATGCATATGGTTACAAAATGATAAAAGCAGAGTCTTAGTTTGGGGGTCACACAAAAGAAATAAACAAGAAAGATCGCTAAAAATATACTAATTAGTCTGATACACACAAAAAGAAGAAAGTGAAGACCATAATTTCGATGGATAAAAGATAATGAAAGCGGCATTAATAATATAAAAGTTACGAACTGGAAAATCAACACGTCAAATATTAACGTATGGAGAAAAATTAGTAAATACAGAAATAGGTTATATATTTTTAAAATATTTCAATATCTTTGCTTGTTCTAGATCCCATGGACTATTTTATTTTGGATTCGATAAGCGGGGAACTTAGAACAGCGAGACCAATTGATAAGGAATCGGTCGACAACCCTGGGGGTATTTTAAAATTTAATATAAGGGTAAGTATTTGATTTATTTTAATTTCCTCTATACTTCTTTTTGGATCGTTACATTCAAGTGAGATGCAGAGATACTGTTTTGCCCTTAAATGTTCATTTTAATCGCAGTGTTTGAATTTAGTTACTGATTTCTGTACAACAGATATCTTGCATTTACCTCTTTATTTTATTACAACTAAAAAATATGCTTTACATATTATTTTTTGCTTTACTAATTTAAAAAATTTAATATTGACGAGTAAATTTTGACAAAATCAAATAGGGATAGAATATGTTCTTCAGAACTTTGGCATAACTTACTGTAGAATAGAATAGAAATATTTTTTTCCGCAAATCGCCAGGAAATTTTGACATTCCTGTCAAAATTTCTTGAAGAAAAAGTCAGGACTTCCTTAGTGTAAGGAAATGTCATTTCCATACTGTAAGGAAATGATATTTCCATACAGTTGTTAGTGTTCTACATAAATGATAGAAAACACATTGCTTATAAGGAATTAATTTATATTTTGAAAACATCAAGTCATTGCTGAATACATTTTTAAGATCAATTTGTTATATTTTCAGTAATTTGACAGTTAGTACAATTATTGAGCATTGGAGGAACACTCTTAGAACTATGAGAAACATTTTGGACAACATGCAGGGTGGAAGTGTCATTTTGTTGAATATTTTGTACAGTGAAAATTTTATTTCCCACCTCAACCTTATTGTTAAGCGATTCTTCGATATATCCTTCAGCAACGTTTGATGACTTCCATCCGCCATGCCTCTTTAAACTAGTTATGTCGGCACCAGAGTCAACCAATATTGTTGCAGAAGACCGACGAAAGCAGTGACCAGTATATTCTGTCGGATTTATCAAGTTCAAATAAGTAGCAATTATTTTGGGCATTTTTCTAAATTGATGAGTTCCTACCACTTGTCTACAACCCTTTCCGCTTTGATATTTAAAGAAAAATCGGTCACTGTTCATATTTTCTGGTCTTAACGAAACACACTTTCGATAAAACATTCAAGTAGATCTGATTAATTACAAATGATCTTGGTTTGTTGGTTTTCGAATCAGGTATGCTGATTAAAAGCTTAGATTCTAAGTCTTCTATATCGTGTACAGTCATTCGGACTAACTCATCCATTCTACAGGCTCCAGAAATACCAAATATTACAGCCACCTAAAAAATAAATAAAGCTATAATCTAAATAGAAATTAAAACCTTGTAAATTACCTTAATCATTAAATTTTCTTTATCTGGAGCTTCCTGGATAAATTTTTCAATTTCTTCCTTATGACTGCTTCCAATGAAGCATTATTCACTGCCTCAACCAGCTCTGGAGGAGTCCCAGGAATGGAAATTTCATCATCACTTATCATTTTACTTTCGAGAACACCAGCAATTAAATTTATAAGCGTCAAGTTTGACAATTCAACCTCAATACGTTTCCATAGTAACCCAAGTAATTTTATTAGGAATTTCAAAGCACCATTTATTTGGGAATAAAATTATCGCGTTTTTTTAAATCAATCAATATCTGTCGCTCGTAGGAAAAGCCACATTCCAGGACTCTGTGTTGCTAAGTATCGGCTTACGCCTCGACTTAGCAATCTTCACAATCGTCCAGGAATGTTAAGCTTTTCCTACCCGGTAAACAATGTACTATTATTGTCACTGAAAATTGTACAATTTTATGGATAAACTTAAAAAATCAGTAAATAACATTTAAAATTTATTGAAATTACATAAATCGTCAAGATTATAAAATAAAAGATAATAAAATAATCAATCCATTGCAAAATTTAAATAAATTGCAAATTGCATGATAAAATATTATTTATAATAAGTTGAGGTTGCTGCATATGATATCCAAATATAAAAAGAAATACTTCTAAAATATACAAAGGGGGAAGCATTGAAATTTCGTGATTTCTGAAGTAGCTTCTGCAATTGGTTGTTCTTCTAAGGCCAAATAGATACCGTATTGCTCTTTTCTGTAATTTACAAATAACATCAGATTGGGCAGCTGTACTAGAACCTAAAAAGGGAAGACCATAACAAAGATGAGACTCGAGCAAAGAAAAATATGTTATTTGGGAAGATGCTAAATTTATTTCCTTGGAAACAGATCTTATTTCATAGCAGGCTGAGGCTAGTTTCTGTAATTAATATTACAGTCACCGTATAGAATTTTTCTATGATACAAGAGCACAGGATGTCCTGGGTCAAACACGAGATCTATTGATTGTTGGCAAAGAGTTCATATATAGCAGATCTGCCAAATTTCCGAGAACTTGTATGTTAATGGAAAATGTACAATTGGCTTTAGTACAACTGGTTTAGAAAAGACAACTTCCACAGAAGTAGAAGAAACCGAATAGTTCTAATGTCGCTTCCTTGATACATTGTATTTTTTTCAAGCCTTAATCAATGTTGTTGATCTTTGTTGTTGATAATTCTAACAAGTACTCAATATTTATTTTTTGAACTGTTTTTTTTTTGTTTAATTTTGAGATTTGTGTATTAGAGGTTAACATTAATATAATTTATCTACAATTATCTTGTACGGTTTAACTAATACGCAAATAATAATCATTATTACAACTTCCAGGCCTACGAAGTAGTAAATGGTAGTAAAAGTAACACCCCTCTAACGGTTTCAACGGCCGAGGCAACCGTTAGAATATTAGATGTCAACGACGAGCCCCCGACATTTAACAAAAGAGAGTACACAGTGGAAATTCCAGAAAATATTCCAGAAGGTTCTGCTCTGCCAGGACTGGATATGACTGTCAACGATCCAGATGAGGTAAGACTTTTCTTTATGTAATATGGTTAAGGCCATGACGTAATTCTTTTGTTTAATACAAGTTCTTTAACACAGACGGTGAATAATTGTTCTTTTGAATGATAAAAACTTTTTATACATACATACACATAAATACAGACACACAAATATTTTTGTTAATACTTCCCTATACCTATTGTGAACCATTTTTGAGTTATAATGGTTTTTATATGAAAATTAAACTTTTCTACCATGTATATAAAGTTCAATATCCTCTAATATAATTTGAATAAAAGTTTAAATTCCTTAGGAACTTATTAACAACATACAGCATTATCGTTTACAGTAAAAAGTTGCCTTTTCCATTATACAGGGTACTGTCAAAATTGGCATAAAACCGGCATCTTAAATATTCGCCTAATTCCTTTTTTCAAATGGGACACCTTGTATGTGATTCATTATTTTAGAAAAACATGTTTTTCACTATCGACAAGTATTAATATTCCCTATACCTGTCTCTTGCAGTTTTTAAATAAATTAACTTTATACATTTTGGCCACAATAAATTTATTTATCAAGTAGCCTAAGCCTATGAAATATTCTGACAAAGAATTAAAAAAAAACAATTGGACCCTTTATTCTTATACACTAGTTCAACATTTACATCCTTGAGATTATGTACGACGTGAAGAATTTTGTGAATGTGATAAAGTCACTTCTGTAGTGACGAAAATTCTCAGCTCACGTGAGATAGTAAATTTCAAGCATTCTTTTTGTTCAATGTTTTTTTTGCTTTGGGAAATAATAAGATAGTCGCTCTCATGATTTGTGACGAAAATTTTAATGGAGAGCGTTACTACATTTTATAGCAAGTAATTGTACCAGCACTGCACGCTTTGCATAATAATAAGCCTAATGAGGTTTGGTTTCAACAAAATGGAGCACCGGCTCACAATATTCTAGGAATCAGCACATTACACCGTAGATTACTATATTTTAGAATATGTTAAAAATAAAGTGTTCTCTGAGTGTGTTCTCTGCTAGACGTATGTTCTGGCTGGCCAATCTTAGGAAACGGACTGGTGTAACGTCAACTGATCTATTTCGAGCTGCTGTGAATAGAATAAGATGGATTAATGTGGTCGCCAACACCTATAGAAAATAGGCACATTTAGAAGAAGATATAGCGAGTTGTTTGTGGATTCAATCGCTGTGATATTTTTAATTCCCGCATTCAAATTATTTTCAGTTCAACTATATAAGTTTAACCTTGTCCTTTAGTGTTTTTTTCTTGCTAGTTTGTCATAATCCTTCTTTTTAGCGATTTTATTTTGAATATGTATAAGTACGTAATAATGATTATGATACTAACTAATTTGTGTCGTCGTAGAATATGTAGATCGCCATGCAGCTTGATACACAAAATTATTTATTGGATATTCACTCTATGGTTCGAAATTAAAACGTTTATTCGGTTTAAACTCAAAAACAACTTAACTGTTATTAAAAACGTCAACGGAACACCTCATCCCCTTCGTGCTAACTTTACCTCGTACCATGTTGGGTCCTGTATATAGTAATGATTTAGTTTGGAATATTCTAGTAACTTCAAATGCTTCTAGAATCTTCTAGAATTCTTCACTATGCCTAGGTCTTGTATCACAGCGGTACGAAATATTCAACATATGTCATGCAGCGTAGTGAAGTAGGTTAGTTTCAGAACCATCTTTGCAACACGAAAGAATGCAGAAACATAACAAACATTCTTTCATCAGTGAGATTATGGTCACTACAGATCTACAATTTTTTAGTTCGTTTTAAGTATCAAATGAACTCAAGCAACTTTTTAATAGCAAATTGAACCTACATAGTTATTAAATAACATTTTTTACATTTCCAGGATAGTAACTCAGAGTATTCGCTGGACCTCATAGATATCTCAGAAGTATTTTCGATCGAACCAAAGACAGCTTCTGGATGGACTCCCGTAAACCATACGAGTGGCTAATAGTTCCTTAGACTACGAAGATCTGAACCAAAGAAAATTTATTATTCTTGCGGTTGCGAAAGAGCTCCACACACAAGAAAAACTTTCGTCCACGGCTACAGTCACTATAACGGTTGTGGACGTTAATGATAATGCCCCCAGCTTCGATCAAGAAGGTAAAATTTCTTGGTTCTCTTTCTGCTTGTTATATTAAAGAAATTATTTAATTAAATGTTTGTTTTTTAGCATATTCAGCAACGATTTCGGAAGTAGCTACGCCAGGAACTTTGGTTACCACTATAACTGCCAGCGACAGAGATAGCGGATCGTTCGGAGAAAATGGAATAGTTTATAAGTTGTTTGGCAATGGAGCTGATAAATTTAACGTAAATAGTAAAACAGGAACTATAACTGTAGCCGAATGTGAACACCGAGGAAAATCTCCGTGCTTGGATTATGAAACCAATCCGGAATTCCAGCTTCAATTTATTGTATGTATTATAAGTCAATTTTTGAGTTACGTTTCAGAATCTTATAGCAAAAGGTTTTTGGAAGTATGAAAGTTTAGAAGATTTGGAAATCATCGTCGGCCATTTGGTCTATCGTCAAATACAAGCCTTCAATGATATGTCCTTTGTTTCTGTCGGTTGTTTTTTTGCATCCAGCAATTCGTTTGATGTCGAACAGAATCCAAGAGGATCGAAATATAACAGCGTGGGAATTTTAAGAACTGACTATAATCGGTTTAACAGTGGATTTAATGTAATGCCTTCAAATTAATGCCTCCTTTGATAGAGCTGCCAAAAAAGAAAAGTTTTTTTCGTTCAAAGCGTCTGAGCTTTTCTTCGTTTGCTTTGGTCATGGTCCACGTTTCGCATCCATATGATATTACAGGTCTGACGATGGATTTATAGATTTTGATCTTTGAACTTCTTGTGAGATTTTTTGATTTTATGAGCTCATCCAGTGCGAATAGACAGCCGTTTGCAGATTGGATTCTGTCTTATATTTCTTCAATAATATCATTGTCAGCTGTGATTAGGGCACCCAGATACTTAAACGTTGTACTTTTTCGAAATTGAAGGTGTTGACCGACACATTTTGTCCTATTCTATCTCTTCGTGTCGTCCTATTTATACACATATATTTCGTCTTCTCTTCATTAATCTTCAGCACCACTTCACTTGTTGCTCCTTCCACCTTGTTGCACATGTCTTTCGTGGATAGGGTGGAGTCTCCAACGAGATCTAAGTCATCTGCATATGCGAGTAACAGCTTGGGACCTTGAACCGATAGCAATTCTGTTTTTATTTCGGCCGACCTCATGGCTTTCTCTAATACAAGGTTAAAAAGCAGTGGAGATAACGCATCGCCCTGTTTGAGTCCACTGTTGATTTCAAAGCTGCCAGACAGTTTATTATTTACACGTTCTTTAGATATTCCACCCTCCATACAGACTTTGGTCATTCGAATGAGTTTCTTTGGTATTGAGAACTCCGCCATTGCATTCCAAAATTTGCTTCTTTGTACGCTATGATATGCCTGTCAAAAGTCTATAAAAAGATGGCTTATGGGTCTGTTATACTCTCATCCCTTTTCTAGAAGTCCTCAGCGTGAATAGTTGATCTATTGTTGATTTGTTTGCCCTAAAACCGGCTTGATATTCGAGCAGGACATTTTCAGCATAAGGGATTAGTCTACTAAGAATGATATTTAATTGGGTTTTCATCATCATCCAGCAAGATGTTTTCAAGAGTCCACTGCTGAACATAGGCCTCTTCCTAATGTTTCCAACCCCGTCTATCTTGCGCCGCTCTTATCCAGTTTTTATTGAGTCTTCTTAAATCGTCAGTCCATCTTGTAGGTGGTCGACCGACGCTTCTCTTGTCTTCCCTTGGCCTCCATTCCAATAACCTCTTTGTCCATCGCCCATCTGTCATTCTGGCTATATGTCCTGCCCATCTCCATTTTAGTCTCCATCTCCTTCTTCGTCATCTTTGTCAAATGGAGAATGGAGAATTGGGTTTTATATGCCGTGTTTAGGAGTGAAATTGTTCTATAATTCGCGCATTTTGTTTTGTCCCCTTTTTTGTGGGTGGGCACTATTATGTTTTCTTTCCATCTCGTTGGTATCCTTTCTTTTAACCATATGTGCGTTATTAGCTGGTGGATTTGGCGATGTAGTGCGTCTTCCTGATATTTCAAAAGTTCTGCTGGTATCTCGTCCGTACCGGCACTTTGTGAGTACTCGCTCCTTCTCGAGTACCCATTCCATTTCGGAACCCAAACTGCGTCTCTCCTCCTCTAGCCTTTCGTATATTCTCTTATGTATTACTTTCAGCAGTACTTTTAATGACTCATGACTTCAGTATGACATGAGGCTCAGTGTTCGATAATCAGAGCATTCTATTGCTGCTTGTTTTTTAGGGATGGTTATAAATGCTGAATTCAGCCACTCTTGTGGTATTATTCCCATATCGTACACCGTGTTGAATAAATCGTCCATTACTTCCAAGTTATCTTCTTCCACTAGTTTTAGCAGTTCTACTGGTACTTCATCTAATCCAGCTGCCTTATTGTCTTTAAGAGTTTTTGATAGCATATTTGATTTCATCTATCGTGATCTTTTGTCTCTCTAAAGGATTCAATTCTTGTATTTTCTACATTTCACCTCTTTCATCTTGGAAAAGTTCTCTAACGTACTCCTCCCATCGCCTTAATTTCTCTGGTAAATCTATTAGTAGTACTCCTTTTTTGTCTTTTATGTATCCTTGCTATCAATTTTATAAGCAAGTGGCCGAAGTCTATTAGCAAGTGGTTATTAGTATTTGTTCTTTAAGAACAAGAATACAAAAACAAAAAAGTTACTAAATAAACGAAATCTGAAGAAATTATGAATAAAATAATTATTTGAAGATATTTAATAAAAAAGCAAGATTATTATATCGATGCTCGCCTAAAATAAACTCTATAAATATTTCTTTTGTCTCGCTAAATGATATTAAAAAGTAAATACTCTTTTCTAGTGAGATAACAGTGTAGAAACTTTCACCCAAATTAACCGAAAACCTTTTGCCTTTACAAGGACCTGACGGCGCGTTGTCATTATACTCATTGTTGTCCTTTTCCAGGCAGTCGACGATGACGGCAAAGGGCAGACATCGACGGTCCCCCTTAAAATCCAACTAACCGACAGCAACGACAATCCGCCCGTATTCAGCCAGTCCATATACAGGGCTTTCATCAACGAGGGCTCGGCCAAATTTCAGCCTGAATTAATAGTGGAAGCGGCCGATGCTGACAAAACGTCCAGAGTGACGTATTCGATAATTTCGGGAAACGATGATGGATTATTCAGCGTTGTTCCTACTACTGGAGTGATTAGAATTATGAATAATAGAGGACTGGATATAAGTAATGAGACGGACAATGTTATTTCGCTAACTGTGATGGTATGTATTAAGGAGAAAGGAAATTTTACTTTTATAGAAATTTGTTTATAAAAATTAAAATGTGTCGTCTTGAAAGAAAATCAAATCGCATTTATATATTCTTATTATTCTACAGGCAAGTGATGGACAGTACACGTCAACTGCCGTTGTCAATATCACAGTACTGGATGTAAACAATAATGCGCCAATATTTTCGAGACATCACTATGTAGAAAGTGTTTTAGAAGACGTTCCTATTGGTAAGTTTTATATCTATACAACTCAGTGGCGTACGGTCCATGGAAGCGGGGGAAGCACCCGCAAATATATTATTAATATTTAATTATCAACAACTTTTCCCTAATCTAAGTATTCTATTATGTAGGCAATAGGCATCAAAAAATATTAAAAATAGATCGCATAAACGAACTCAAATATGGCAATGACCGAGCAACATATTATATCCACACCTGTGCTTCAGTAGTTTTCGAACTCACAGCCTTCATAAACTCTTCGTATTCGTTATCCAATACTTTATGTGTAGTAACTGAAGAAGAAGAGTCCTTCTCAAAAATATTTGAAGCATTAACACTCAATGCATGGTGTTCAGTCTTCAGTTCTGAAGATTGAACTTCAGAACTGGATTTTTTATATCCACCTTCATTTTTTAGGCTTAGAATCTCTCTCTCTCTTCAATCCTGACCCCCAGGGGGAGTGTAGTGGTCGACGTGATGTCGTGTATTGTCCGTCTCCAGAGATCTCTGTCTCTGGTCATTTCTTTTAATTCATGCATAGGTCTTTGGCATATTCCTGTAATTTGATCTATCCATCTTGTTGGGGATCTTCCTCGTGATCTTCGGCCTTCTACCTTTCCTTGTATTATGAGTGTTTCCATGTTTTCTGTGTTTGCTCTCATAACATGCCCAAAATATTTTAATTGTTGGAGATGGACTTTACTAGAGAGTCGTTGGCTAACTTTTAGCTCTCTTAAAATTGAATTATTTGTTCTACGGTCGGTCCAAGGAATTCGTAACATTCGTCTCCAACAGAACATTTCAGTGGCGTCTATCTTTCTTGTCTCCGATTGTCTCAGAGTCCAAGATTCACATCCGTAGGTCAGTATTGGGAATATTAAGCAGTTGATCAACCTCATCTTTATCGCTCTTGAAATTTGACAGTCCTTCCATATTTTGGTCATTTTTGCTGTGGCAACTTTTGCTAGATCACATCTACGTTTAATCTCTTCTTGTATTGACCCTGTGTTTGTGATTATTGACCCCAGATATAAGTATGAGCTTCGAACCGGTCAATTGTGGTTATGTGTGGATGATTGTTGTGTAGTCTATCTACTATCATGATCTTTGTCTTTGATATGTTTAATTGCAGACCAAATATTTGACTTTCGTTTTCGATCAGTCGTATAAGTTCCATCAGCTCTGCTTGACTATTTGCAAGAAGGGCTGTGTCATCTGCGAAACGTAGGTTGTTTTAGTTTATGACCATTTATTGAGATGCCCTTTTCCATCCTTCAAGTGCTCTTCGCATAATATACTCCCCATATATGTTGAATAATTGTGGAGATAGTATACATCCTTGTCTGACACCCCGTTCTGGATGAAACTCGTTCGAAAGTGTGTCAAGTACTTTAACTGATCCAGTAGTGTGTTCATATAGTTCAGTTATAAGCGTAATTAGATGTTGTGGTACGCCTACTTCTTTTAGTATTCGCCATAAGTGTCTCCACTTGACCCTGTCGAACGCTTTACGGTAATCTATAAAACAGATGTATAGTGGGATGTTGAATTCCCTAGATTTCTCGATTATCTGTCTTATATTCAGCAGGTGTTCTCGAGTGCCTCTACCTTTGGTAAATCTAGTTTGCTCTTGTGGAATTTCTCTTTGAGGAATGTTTTCAGTCTCTCATTGATTATATGTAGCATTATCTTGCTGGCATGGTATATAAGAGAGATAGTTCTATAATTGTCGCATTTATGGAAGCTGCCTTTTTTATGTATAGTCGTTATTGTAGATTTTGTCCAGTCTTCAGGCCATTGTTTGGAATGCCATATTTGGTTACAGAGTAGATGAGGTAACTTTACGCCGGTTTCTTCTGTGGCTTTAAGCATTTCTGCTGTTATCATATCTGGACCTGGTGCTTTGTTATATTTGAGCTTGTTGATAGCCTGTCTTACTTCATTTTCGAGTATATCAGGTTCTTCTTCCACCTCGTCAGAGATTTGGCTAACAAGCTCTTGGCGTTGATCATCTTTATATAGGTCCCTGCAATACGATCTCCATGTCTCTGGTATGTCTTCTCTGTTTGTTCTCAGGTTCCAGTGTTATCTTCAATGGCCCAAGTTCTGGCTCTGAAGTCTCTTGTCAGGTAGCGTATTTTTCTAAATAGATCTCTCGGCTGATTATTCTGACCATGTCTCTCAATTTCTTTGCATATACTTTGATAGTACTGTTTTTTGTCGGCCTTACATCTTCGTTTTATTTCTTTATTGAGGTTTTTTAAACTAGCGTTTTCCCTTTCACTATGTACACCACTTTTACAAAGATTTCTTCTTAGAATCTACATGAGTATTATTAACATTTTGATTTTCGGTCGGTATTTCTTTAGCTTTTTGTCTCCAAATCAGTTGGATCTATATTTATAAGCGGATTCTTTGGAATATATATTTGTAAATCTCGTTTTTTGAATGGTTTGATATTTAAGGGTATTTCCAGATCTAGAATGGCATCATCATTTTTAGTTTTCTCATCTCCTCTGGTTTCATATGTATGTATGTTTATCTTCTACTTTATAGATTTCCTCGTCGCTCTCCTAATTATCGTTGAATTCAATAGGTTTTTGTGATAGTACCCTTGGATTTTCGTTAAAATATTCATCAACAGGTTCGGTTTTAATTACGATACTTGGTATTCTACTGTCAGGTGGTGCGGTATTTTTCTTGCACAGGATGTACATTCTGATCAAATTTCTTTTTAATTTCTATTTTTAAGGTTTTGATAGGTTCAACATGAGATTCGGAATCACTCTCCGAATAATGGCTTTTATATTTCTCTTTTCGTGTAACTTTTTTCGAAATTTCTAGGTTTCCAGAAGACTTTGGTTTAGAAGGTGCTTCTACTTTTTGCGATGCTTTCTTCTTAGCTTTCCTTTTTAACTTCTTTCGTAAGTCATCCATTATTGGCGATTTCACATTAACACTAAGAGCTTTCTTTTTCTTCTTTCTTTCTTTAATGCTTTCTTCCTTCTTTTTCGCATTAACTGTTCCTTCTTTTTCGATTTCTTGCTAATAGTTTTCGGCTTTTTCGAAGCGCTTCTCAAATAGCCGCACTTATCTCCTCAAACGTGGCTCAAGTCATCTTGAATTACTCGGGAAGTTGGAAAGCAAGGAGCGCTTTCTTGGCCGCCTTACGCCTTTATTTATTTCGTAACAGTCGATGTACGACCGGTGACGGCAGGCTATTGAAAAAATTGTGAATTTTGTGCTGCTTTTCTTCTTTGTTGTTTATCTGTTTTCATAATGGAAGGAGTACATGAAGGACCGTCCTGTGGTTTGTTAACAATGTAGAAAACTTAATTTTTTAATACCGACAAGACGAATCCCCAAGCTGTGGACGGAGTCTTAATAGATCGCAGCGTGGAAACTGCTCTACCAGGTACAACACTCTGCCAGATACGTAAGTCATCTACATACAATTTCGAGTTCCAGCATAGAAAAGATTATAATATCCATGTTCGTTCATTTAAAGATCTGGTCTACTCGCAAGCATCGATCCCACCGTAAACCGATAATCTCAGCGGAAATAAAAGCTCGTCTGACAATTTTAGCGAACTACGATTAGTAAAGTCACATTGTTTTGAACCTTTCGACTTTCGGAAACCATAGAGATATCGTTACCACCTTTGACTAGAAAGTATACGGCCTTAAAGGCGTTCAGGCATAATCCCACGGATGGTAGCTTCGCACCATAACCCGCTCGAGTAAGTTCGTCAACCAAATTTCTGAACCTGCGATGTATCTCATACTGAGCAGGGTTCCAGCAGGGTCTCAACTATCGCAACGAGTAGACATCAGTAGGGTAAAACTAACCTGTCTCACGACGGTCTAAATCCAGCTCACGTTCCCTGTCTATGGGTGAACAATCCAAGCCTTGGTGAATTCTGCTTCGCAATGATATGAAGAGCCGAAATCGCTTGACTGCCACAAGCCAGTTATCCCTGTGGCAACTTTTCTGACACGTCTTTCTGAGAACTGTTTAAGCCAAAAGGATCAATAGACCATGCTTTCGCAGTTTCTGTGCATACTGAACATCAGGATCAAGCCAGCTTTTGCCCTTTTGCTCTACGCGAGGTTTCTGTCCTCGCTGAGCTGGTCTTAGGACACCTGAGTTATTCTTTGACAGATGTAATGCCCAGTCAAACTCACCGCCTGGCATTGTCCTCGAATCTAATCAGACTGGAGGTGAGTTGACGCGCGAAACGAAGCACACGAACGCTAGCTGAGTCTTTTTGGAACCACGAAACCGATGAACTGACAACGCAACGAAAACGTCACTCCGTATCTTTGGCTTAAGAATAGCGTGACAGTCGCCTCGTGAGCGAACGACGCACGCGTTTCGCCTTACCGAGTAAATACAGAAACGATGAAAGTAGTGGTATTTCACCGGCGATTTCAATTGCATTTATCCATTGCAAGTTATCCATTGTTATGCGATATGTGGTTGGTGGCAATCCTCAAGAGCGATTTTTATAATTTTTGAATATAACTAGCGATTGAACTGTTTGTGCTACTATTTCGAAGTTAGAATGTGATTCTAAGCTTGTCGCCCAGAGCTAAAATGGTGCTGCGGTAATGGCTGCTCAGATTCTTCAAGCTAAAGTAAAAAATTTAAATATGCAAAGTTTTCTTCTTGACCCTAAGGCTTTTGGAGTTAGCTTTATTATTCATTGAAAAAGAGTGCATTAAACAATTATCGGAAAACCCAACGTTTTACGATGATGTTATAGAAAATTTGCAGTGGTTGATAGGAGAATAGACCTCAAGTATTAAGTGTCAATTGTTGAAAGTTTTGTGTTGTGAAAAATATCTCGGAGTATGAAAACAATTTTAAATGGAACTCTTTTTTTAAGTTTAAAGAAACCATCGTTTTATAGACCCCTACAGAAAATATCACCGTACGCCACTGATACAACTATATAGACCTTTGCATCAGTGCTTAATTAAACTACAACGCCGCGCGCCGGCTGCATAAAATTATGCTAAATATTGAAACACTATTCATACCACTAATTTGGTATTCGGAAATATTTTGTAATAAATGTCAATGGCTTTAAATTCATCTCATTACTTCTTTTAACTAAGTACCTAATATATTGTATATTATAGGTACATCTGTGATGAGGGTACAAGCTACAGATGCCGATACTGGTATAAATGCCGCCATAGAGTACTTTATGCAAAAGGGCGCATACGAAGATTTCAAAGTCGACAACGCTTCGGGCGTTATATCAGTAGCAAAGAAACTGGACTACGATAGAAGAAATACCTACAACATCGAATTGGTTGCCTTGGACCACGGAGTTCCTAGTTTAACAGGAACTACAGAAGTTACTATTACTGTTGTTAATACAAATGATAAAGATCCTTATTTTGTGCCTGCAACACAAACTGCTGAGGTAAGTTATACTGCATATATTAAGTTCTATGAAAATACGTTAATAGGTCTCTTTTATCCTTACCTAACGTGTGGTACTACTTGCCTCTGGCACTTGGTCGCTTTGCACAAGCCCTGCCGTTTCATTAAATTCCAGCAAGACATTTTGTACTTTAGATAAATGCTACTTTCTTAAAATGGATACTTTACGGATTTCTTCTAGCTTCTTCGACCAGTGCCTCATCCTTTAAGGACATTGGCGAACATTATGGCTCATTTTGCTCTGTCTGCAACAATTCTGAAGAGTTCTATGGTTGTTTTTCCACTTCACTGCTTTTAATCTTTTGGATATTAAGCTTTATCCTTCAGTGATTGTAATTGCGTTCAGTTGGTGAGCCGTTCTGTGGCCTTGCGCATTTCTGCTGTTATCGTATCTGGACCTGTTGCATTGTTGATTTTAAGTACATTGACTGCCTGTCTTACTTTGCTTTTGGATACATCGGATTGTTCTACTTTTTCATCGTAGTTTTGCTGAACAAGTTACTGATGATTCACTTTTTAGATCTTTAGAACTACGGACTATTTAAAAATGAATTAATTTATTCTTTGCAATATTACTGACTCTGCATTTCGTTTTTATTTAGGTTATGGAGGATGCCGCAGTCGGAACTGTCATCTATACCTTAATCGCGCTTGACCCAGACGTCAATTCTTCTGATGCTCTAAATTTTGCCGCTACTGAGCCAATAACAGCATTGGACAAGCATGGACAAGAGGTCATAGGCAATGAAAAGTTTAAAGAGTTTTTCTCAGTAGATAAATTTACCGGAAAAGTTACGGTTGTGAAACCACTACTTCGAGACTTGGCTGCCGTTATCAGAATAACCGTTTTGGTCAGTGATATTACTGCTCCGAGTATACAGCAAGGTCAGGGGTTACTGATAATAACTATAGGTGATGTCAACGACTCGCCTCCTATGTTTATGCCACCATGGACCAGAGAAAATCCTAGTTACTACCTGGAATTAAAAGAAGAACAACCCGTGGGTACTATAGTAGCAACTTATAAAGCTATTGATGAGGACTCTGATATAGCTGGATATTTAATATATCCAGAAAGTGACTATTTCCAAATTAATAACGGAACAGGTATAGTACAAATAAAAAAGAAGATCGACTATGAAAAAATCAAAATACTTAATTTTACAATCGTCGCATTTGATAGTGGAGTACCCCAACTAAATGCCACTGCCACAGTGTTGGTAAAAGTTATAAACATAAATGATAACGATCCGATATTTACAGAAAAGGAATATAAAGCAGAAATAGACGAAAACTCCCCTAACGGTACATTTATCGTAGCAGTTAGAGCTGTAGATAAAGACGCTGAAAGCTATGGCGAAGTTAGCTACTTTTTAACTGGAGAACACAGCATGAATTTCGCCATAGATAACGAAACAGGATATATCACAGTAGCCAACTCGAATTTCCTTGACCATGAAGTCATCAATGAAACTGAAATACAGGTGGTAGCTCAAGATGGAGCTCCTAGCAATGTCAAGAGATCAGTAACTGTTCCGGTTCGGATTAAAATTAGAGATGTGAACGATAATGCTCCGAAGTTTGCGCACAAAGAATATAATGTAACTGTTATGGAGAACGTGCGATTGAATCCGCCGCTGCCTTTGGTTCAGGTTAATGCTACAGATGAAGATTCTGGAATGAATGGGAATATACACTACAGTATAGTATCAGGAAATGACAATGGTAAGAATCAGTTGCTTTTTAGTAGACTTAATTTTACTAATGTAGATTCCATTTAAAAAGTTGAGTAAGTAATCACTTACCAAGTAAGTATCGTGTTTTAGAAATGTTGGTTTTTATTTATTAACAATTACTTAATGAGAAAATAAAATTTTTACTTACCATTAAAAGTATTCATAGGAGAGTATTTTACAGTATCAAATTCCTCGAATGTGCTCGCTATAATCACTATGTCGTCAGCGAATCTGAGGTGGTTTAACTTGTTGCCATTAACGTTAATGCCATAGGTTGACCAATTTGTAGTTTTGAAGACGTCTTCTAGGGCTAGGTTGAAAAGCTTTGGCGATATTACGTCTCCTTGTCTCACTCCTCTCTTAATGGGGATGGGATTTGTATTTTCGTCTAGTTGTACTATCATAGTTGCATTTTCATATATATTATGTATTAGTTGCCTATATCTCGAATCTATTCTACAATTATTAATAGCTTGTTCTATGGCCCACATCTCGATACTATCAAACGCCTTTTCATAGTCGACGAAGGCAAGAAATACGGGTAGTTGGTATTCATTTGCCTTTTCTATCAATGTTCTCATTGTCAGCAGATGGTCTGATGTACTATATCCTTTGCGGAAGCCAGCCTGTTCAACCGGTTGGTAATTATCCATTTTGTAGGTTAACCGGTTATTAATAATTCTCATAAATAGTTTGTATACTTGACTGAGCAACGATATAGGTCTATAATTCTGTAGATCACATTTGTCCCCTTTTTTGTGTAAGAGTATTACTAGACTCTCGTTCCAGTCTTTAGGGATCTGGCTATTATGGAGACATCTATTAAATAGCTCTGTTAGTACAGGGATTGTTAATGTCTTGCTTGTTTTCAAGAGCTCGGCAATTATACCGTCGTGTCCTGGAGCTTTATTTTTTAGTTCTTTTAAAGCTCTTTCTATTTCGTATCCCTTTATATTTGGTAGTACTTCTGATCCCACGTTTTTTATTTTTCTTTTGACGTTCTCCTTTGTTGTTTCATTAGGCTGGCCTTGCGAGCTGTACAAGGATGTGTAGAAGAAGTCTTCGACAATATTTGTTATTTTATATTTGTCCTTCTCTACCTTATTGTTGGCGTCTTTAATTTTGATGATTTTTTGAACTCCCAGTGCGGGTCTTAGACATTTTAAGCCTCTGTTGTTTTCAATGACTCGCTCTATTAAGTTCTCGTTCCATTTTTGTATGTCGCGTTTTAGTTCTTTTCTAATTGTTTTATTAAGTTCTCTATATTCTTGAGTATGGCGTTTGTTTTGCGCTAGTAGTTGTCTTCTTTCCGTCATTAGCTGTTTAGTTTCATTGCTTATTTTGTCTTCTTTAGTCCTTGTTTTCTTTGCGACCTGTAGACCTGCTGCGAGAAGGTTTTTATTTAGGTTTTTATTAATCTCGTCAATTTGATCTTGATTATGTGAAGGATCAGGTTCGAACTTATCCGCTAAGACCTCTCGGAATTGCTCTTCATTTGTTCTTAGTTTAAAGGCATCTATCCTCGTTGTTTTTTTTAAAATCCTTTTTCTCTCTTCTTTCATGTTAATATTTATTTTCGCTCTGACTATATGATGGTCACTACCCGTTGTTACGTTGTTTATTGTTGTGACGTCTTCAAATATTCCTTTGTTGTTTGAGAGAAAATAGTCTATTTCATTTTTGGTAGTTCCGTTAGGTGCGACCCATGTCCACTTTCTGTTAGGTTTCTTTTGTCAGTGTCAGTCTTACCAAAGAATATAAACGCATATGCATATGCGTCTATATTCTTTGGTCTTACATACTCCATAACGACTTAGCTTTGTTGTTTCTTTTCGTACAGGTGTCATAATAATATCGATTAAAACAATTGATTTGCTAATTTAGACACTTTTTTTTTAATATTTTCGTGTTTCTTTTTTTCAATAACTGCACTTTCTTTTGATTTTTTATTTTAATTATGTGTTCACATGCACTTGGTTGCTACTTATATTACTAACCTAACCTAATATATTTGTTTACAAAAAATCTGTTCGAAAAAAATGGCTGACACTATTTTTTTATGAAAACTCCGATAATAAAATTAACTAAATAGTACGGAGACATATTTAGGAGAGTATTTTACAATATCAAACTTTTACAGTCTCAAAGGGTATAAAATATTAACTGTAACTTACAATTATCCATTTGCGGAGATCCGTTCCACCTTTCACTGGAACTAAAATTCATTACACCCAATTTTATACGAATTTATTGGGCTAGAAGTAGCAAACAAAAGCCATTTCGGGATTTCCGGCTGGCACTTTGAAAAGGTGGTCATTAATTTTTTCAGACATCTTTCTTCTGGGCGTGGAAACTGGCATTTTGTACCCTCACAAGTCGTTGTTGGGCCAAACGAGGGATTTCCATTTGGCGGTGGTGGCCAGGGATGGAGGCGGCAATGCGAACGGCAACGGGCAATTGTTCGACGAAGCCACAATTAATGTGCATGTCTTAAATGTAAACGAGCATCGGCCAGAGTTCATTATGCCGGCCCTCGCCAACTCCACGGTCGAAGTACTTGAGGTGAGTTTACTGCTTTTACGATTTTTGAATGTTCTGTCTTTAATTAATGGTAATAAATTTGACCTATACTTGATAAAAGGTCATTTTCTAAAAAAATATTTGTTTTTAAGAATTATTGTTCGAACGCTAATCAAAACTTAATTGTAATCAAATATTTAATTACAATCAAATTAATCACAGCGCTGTCAAAATTATTAAAAATAGCTTATTGTTATAATGTATTTTTATGTATGAGAGAGTAATAAAACAATAAATTATGTATGCAAATCCCTAAACTGTTGATACGGGTGACTCAATGAAAAACAGATATTTGTCAACAAGTTTACAGAAGTATATAGGAAAACAATTTTAAATTGAGTATGACCACCAGGTATAAAGGTTGGAGCAGAATAGAATACAATAGTTGTGAGGGTTACTAATCCCTAAATAAGGTTGCCAGTGTCGGAGTGATGGAGGTTAACAGGTACTAATGAATTTGCAAGAAATGTAAGATGTTTATTTTATTGGTTATATATAACCAATAAAAGTTTAATAAGTACCTACCTATTTGCAAAATAAAGTTTAATTCTTTAGATAAAATAAAACGTTTTATTTTATCTGAAATGAGTGCATTCCACGAAGTAAGGGTTTCAACAATCAAACATTTAATTCTTTAATTCCAGGAATCTACGACAGTAATTGACTAGATAATTACCTTCTAAACTTATTCCACAGAAAATGTGATAGTGGGTTTTTCCATTTTGTAAGAAGGTCCAAGTGGCGTATTCAAAATTCTTAACAGTTCACTAAAAGTAGGTACTTCAGTTGCAAGGTGCAGTTTATTGTGTATACTAGTGTTATGGAAAATTTGGAAGTGCCGTGTAAACGCCGAAAAATTGGTCCTTTAACAGTTAATGAAAAAACATTAATATTTAATTGTTTTAAATCATTTACAGACAAACGTTTATGTGAAAGTGTTGATGAGACCGTTGAGTTAGTTAGCAGTACACTTGGTGTTGGGAAATCTACGATTTACAGAGTTATTAAAGAAGAGAAATGTGGTAGTTTTCAAATGCCACGTAATGCTCCAGGGAAACCAAAATTTCAAATAGAATATCATTTTAAAGAAGGACTTCGACGGAAAGTGCATGAATTCTTCTTTAGACAAGAATTTCCAACATTGGATAAAAGTTCTTGTCTCAGTTCGAGATGATAAGGATTACCCAGAAATGAGTCGAAGTACGTTATGGAAACTTTTAAAAGAAATAGGCTTCCGCTGGAAAAAGAATCCCAGAAAGTCTATTTTATTAGAAAGAAGCGATATTGTCATATGGAGAAGACATTTTCTAAGAACCATAAAGGAAATGAGAAACCAAAAAAGAAAAATATTTTATCTTGATGAAACATGGATCAACGAGGGTCATACACCAAATAAATTTTGGCAGGATGAAACTGTTACAAGTCAAAGGCACGCTTTTGTAAATAACTTATCTACTGGTTTAAACCCACCATCAGCAAAAGGGACGCAGGCTGATAATAGTACACATTGGTAGTTCAGACGGTTTTGTTGAAGGTGGTTTATTAACTTTTGAATCAACTCGTACCGGTGACTACCATGAAGACATGAACGCTGATGTCTTTCAAGAATGGTTCGAACAAATGATAGATCTTCTTCCTAAGAACTGTGTAATAGTAATGGATAATGCAAGTTATCACTCCAGACTTATAGAAGGACTGCCCACAACCAAGTGGTTAAAAAAAGACTTGCAGAATTGGCTGAGTTCAAAAAATATTACGTACCATCCCGGATCTATAAGAAAGGAACTTTATTCGTTGTGTGCCCTTCATAAAGAAAAATTTAAAAAATACGAAATTGATGAAATTGCCAAAAATCGTGGAATGACAGTACTTAGATCCCCACCATATCATTGTGAATTAAACCCGAATTGAACTGGTATGGGCACAGATAAAAAGTGAAGTTTCAAGAAAAAATACCACTTTTAAAATTCATGATGTTAAACAGTTGTTTTTGGAGGCCGTAAATAATGTAAAACCTAAAAACTGGGAAAAGGCAGTAAATCACACTATTAAAGAAGAGGAAAAAATGTGGAAGCTGGACAATATTACTGATAAAATGATCGAGCCAGTTATTATAAATCTTGGTTCTGAAAGTTCATCTTCTGAATCTGATTTGGATTTGTAACAAGTAGCTGTAAGTTTTATATTAATATTTTTATTCATCTATTTAACATACCTTAGACGGTTTTAAAAACTCTTTTTCTCTTTTGTAATTGTTAAAAATTAAAAAAAAATGTGAATTTTTTAAAACTCTTTTTAATGTAGGCCAGTCAGTTCTAATATAGGGTGTGATAAAATAGGTCACTTTTGTTTACATACACATAACACTTTATAACACTGAAATAATTCATTTATTTTTTACAATTATTCAAAGTAATTTTTCAATTAATCTTGAGCACGCCCATGGAGTGGTCGGAGGTAAGAGTTAAAATTATGCTAATTACTCTCTCGTTCATAAAAATAAACTATAATATTGATTTGTACCTAAATAAAAACATGAAATTAACATCAGAAAGAGTTTAATTATGTTTTATTTGAAATTAAAACGCAAAATAATAAAATTGAATAAAATAGATCAGTCAACATAACCTCAAAATGTGACGTATTTGATTTTAATTAAACATTTGATTACAATTAAGTTTTGATTAGTGTTCGAACAACCGGCTCTTAAAGTAATTAAAGAGCGCTATTCCAAACTTGAAAAAAGTATAAATTCTCATAAATGAAACACATTTTAGAACGCAGCAACGGAAAACTACTTAGTAATGACCGTGAAAGCCGTTGATAAGGATCAAAACGAAAATGGTAGACTCACTTATCATTTCAAAGTCGACGAAGAAAACGTTCAAGAGACTGAAGAGTTTAGTATCGATCCCAAGAGTGGGGAACTAAAAACTAGGAAGAGCCTTGACAGGGAGTTTAAACCAAATTACCAAGTAAGTACCTAGTGTAAGTATATATATATATATATATATATATATATATATATATATAATATATATATATATATATAAAGAGAGAGAGAGAGAGAGAGAGAGAGAGAGAGAGAGAAAAGAAATTTAATCTTTGCAGATAAGTTAAATAGTAAACTCTTAAATATTGGGGAAATCTGCAAGAAAAACTCGAATGTGTATCAATTGTTTCGCCGAACGTTTTCGCCAAAGAGAATTAATTTGGCTTCTTCAGGGCTGAAAGAGAATAAATTATAATTAGCTACCATATATTATCTAATAAAAAACATTTATCTTACCGTAAATTTTAGAAATGTCGAGTTAGGATGTTAAAAAACTTAGCTAGTAACAACATAGTGGTGTTTTTTGTTACTATGTGCAAAAAAGTTTTTTTGTTAACGTTGGAAATGTATGGTAGCTTTGAACTTAAAACGCAAAGGTTTACCCAAGGTTAATCGAAAAACCAATGTAACTACATTTAAAGGAAGTAATTCTTTGAATTGTCGGCAATAACTAAATTTTTGATTGTTATAAAGTTTGAATGTGAGGTTCTGTTTTCTTAGAACGCAAGCGCTGACAATTACAAGTAGTGCCTTTGAATATTTATGTCGTTAAGGTTAGGTTAGGTAATGTTATTATTATTATTCCCAAAGCTATTTTCAACACTTTTTTAGAATCCTTGTTAACCCCGGAGTGATATCTCTGAAATAGGGTAATGAAAAATATTTATTGATAGGAGATCCGAGACTGGGTTCCCACTTAAGACATCAGGATCAGCATTGTTAGTCACGATGGAAGGTGAAGTATCTTCGCTATGGATAGTGTTAAACAAAATCTTATTTACTAATGGTCTTGGATAAGAGTTTGAAATAAAAAGTTTCTGAAGGATTTGTAGGTTTTTTGTATGAAATGAAGGATCTGATAGTTTAATTACTCTATTTTTCATCTGTTTGATTAAGTTGACTTTGGTAGAGTTATTATGGTAAGAGTGGTAGTTAAGGTATCTACCAGAATGGGTCGGTTTTTGATACCAATCTATTTTAATGTTGTTGTTTTCCCTAATCATCCTTATGTCGAGAAAGGGGACGGAACAATTACCATCTTCCCTCTCTATAGTGAACTGGATGTAGGGGTCATAACTATTAAAGGTGTCTAATAGTTCATCTACCTTGTCATTGGGTATAGCCAAAATTATATCATCAACATATTTTTTAATAAATGGAATTTGAAAGGATAGTAACGGAATGACTGAGTCTGACACATAATCCATAACGTAAGTTGCAATGATAGGAGAAATCTTTGCTCCCACAGGGGTACCGAAAGTTTGTTGATAGAATTTACCATTAAAAGAGAAGTAAGTGTTATTAAAGAGAAATTCGACGATACTGATGAATCTGTCATAAGACATGGAACAACAACCTCTAATACGGTCGCAGTTGATCTCTATTGATGTCAAACATATTCCTAAATGAACGTTGCTGAATAAGGATACAACGTCAAGGCTAACGAGGACATAATTAGATGGTAATATGTAACCATTATATTTATTTACCATCTCAAAAGAATCTTTGATGTAATATTGAATTTCATAATTATATGCATTAGTAAGTATGTCTGTAACAAAAGCTGAGATATTTTCAGTGGGAGTTCCAATGGAAGCTACTATGGGACGAACCGATAGTGTTGGTTTGTGGATTTTTGGCAAAGCATAAAACTTTGCAATGTTCCCATTGTATGTTGTTAGTTTTTTCTTTGTGTTACGGTCAATCTCATTAGAAGAGGCTAAGGATGCGATTAATGTATTGCATTTCCTTTGTAGAGAAGAAGTGAGATTGGATGTAAGTGAAATGTAAGATTTATCATTCTCAATGAGAGAAGAACACAGTTGTAAGTAGTGAGTTCTTTCTAAGATGACTGTAACATTACTTTTGTCTGCTTTTGTCACTAAAAGCTCAGGATTATATTTAAGAAATATTTTTTAGTTTTGGTATATAAGTTATGAAAAAAAGTATTAGATGATTTAGAAGTATTCAAAATGTGATTAGTAGTGAACTAATCACAATATATAATAAATATACATATATACAGTAAGGTCTCTTTTTATGCGATTTTAAAGTTGTACGGTTTGTATTTTATCCAAAAATTCACCTTGGACATTGCAGTATATTACAACCTCGTTTAACCGGACTAACTGGGACCGGAAACGATCAGGTAAATCGAAAATCTGGAAATATAATAAGGTTAACAAAACTACATGTAAAATGATAAATTACTATATTTACACCCTATATGATTTACGCGAGCATTAGTTTTTATTTGCAAAAAAGTCATTGATCCTTTCTTTTAATTCTCATTCCTTTGTTTTAATTTTGTGTGAAGGTTCAATACGGCACGATCACGTAAACGTTTCACTATCATTAGTTCAGCTGGCGTGGTATCTTGCTGTTGCTCCAAATACGCCATGATGTTGTTCAGCTATGACGTCGCGTCCGCGTGTGTCATCTCTGGCCGTGCGCTGTCTCCTTCCGCCTCGTTCTCGCTGTTGTCTGCTTCCTGAGTAGATGTACATGCTGCAGTTATTTCGTCATCTGTCATGACATCATAACCTCCCTCGTTGTTGTCTGATAACCAATCATTGACGTCGTTGATATCAACATCGGAACAACCATCAATTCTTGCAAACATACCCAATAATTCCTCTGCATTAACAGTGGTTTCATCTGATTCACTTGTAGTTTCATCTGATTCACTTATGTGCGAAGTGCCAGCATTCATTATAAGGCATATGTTTGGCCACAATTTTTTCCAAGACTTTTGAAGAGTGATTTTTTTTACATGATCTCAAGCGTCTGCAAGCATGTAGATCACGTCTTTGACGTTTATACGCTTTAACAAATCAATCAGGCTCTGTTCGCCTTCTTCTTCAATAACTTTACTTAAGAGTTCCCTGCGATAAACACACTTGACAGTTTTCAAGACACCCTGATCCATGGGTTGCAAAATTGCAGTCACATTTGGGGGAGAGAAATTTAACTTTAATATCCCCGTTTATGATATCTTCTTCTGCAGGATGAGATGGTGCATTGTCGAGAAACAAATCGCTTTTTCGGGCAGTTTGTTTTCTTTGAGGATTTTTTCACTTCAGAGACGAAGTTCTCAAAAAATCACTGTTTAAAAATAAAGCTGTTCATCCAGGCACTTTTAGATTTTGATACACTACAGGCAGAGATGCGCATTTTTAAGTGCGCAGAGATTTTTTGACTGCCCAATTATCACCAGGATATCTGGATCCAACTACCGAGATATCTGAACTTGGGGACCTTTTGGATCTTCTTATTGTTTACTCTTATATTTAATTGCATATCTCGTGTTCTACTAATCACCATTACCTTCGTCTTGTCTATATTAATCTTCAAGCCCAGTCGTTCTCTTTCAGTGTTTATTCTATCTATTAGTCGTTGTAGAAAATCATTTTCTTATTAATGACCCCAATTCTGAACGAGCCTTTAACTGACAACGTCAGCTGCAGAACTGCATGTCAGGATATCGTTAGCTAAATAAAAAAGTACTAGCATCATCATTCCAAAGTTTAATTACTGATTACTTGGTCAGAAAAGGAGGAGCTACACAGAACGAGTATGAACTTTGTGAAAATCATTCGCCTTTACCGCAAATATCTATTGCAGAGACAGTTTCTTCTGATGATGAAGATTATTTTGAGCCACTTCACAAATGGTGCAAACCATTATCAGATAGCGATAATGATTAAAAACGTAAATGTAAAACTATTACTTTCCCCTAAAATAAAATTACTTAAGTTTTGAATAGAAGCTTTTGTTAAGCTTGTGTATGAATTTCTTTCAGATATTCGAAGTAATTTATCATGCAGCCTATTTCTTTTAATTTCTGAAAACTTTTTTGTTTTTGTCTTGGTTTTATGTAATTTTAGAAGGCTACGGAACGTATCCCTACTTTTTTAAGGCAAGTAATGTCTTTTGTTATGCGATTTTTTTATATGCGCTTTTCTGTGGAACCTATCCACCGCATAAAACGAGACCTTACTGTATATAGTTATATGTTACGATTACATATTTATATAATTTGCTTTAAAATCATATATTTATTATCTTTCAGTTGGTGTTGGTAGCTAGAGACCACGGCTTTCCTAAATGGTACGAAACCATACGGCATTTGACTGTTCTATTAGTAGATGAAAATGACAACAGACCAGAGTTTCCAGGTTCCAAGTCAACTAATCCTTATCACTTTTACGTTGTGGAGAATAACGAAAAGGATATAATGATAGGTAATTTATTTACTTTATTACTGTAACTAAAACTTAATGCTAATTCGGACTCTTAGTCACCATTATTTGACTATTATATGTGTTTCGGATTTGGATCATTTATTTTTTGGACGAGCTGAATGTGGATCCATCTCGGGGTTTTACTATGCTTGTAGATAACTTCTTCAGGAGAAGTGAGCGTATATCTGTTGGTCAGAGCAACTCAAGTACTTAAGTTAGTGAGTTATTGAAGCATTGAACTTTTTTTTTTATTATTGAGTTAATGCCTCGACAACTGTGATCATTGGCATGGTACAGTCAGGTACCTAGTGTAGTGTGTGTGTGTGTGTGTGTGTGTGTGTGTGTGTGTGTGTGTGTGTGTGTGTGTGTGTGTAGAGTAATTGTCTTGATACTTAGCAAAGTCGACGTCATTGTCTTTGCTAAGAGACGCTAATTGTATCCGAACGTCTGCGGTCCCTCTGATGACTACCGATCGCACAAAGATAGAAATTATTTTTATTCATTAATTTTTAATAAACGAAAATTTCTCCACCCAGATGAGATTCGAACTCACGACCTTTAGGTTTAAAGGTAGGCGCTCTTACCACTGAGCCACAGAGGGGGTTAGCATTGAACTTTATTCTTATTAGATAATTGTAATATACTCCGTTCATTCCCATGATACACAAGGTCATCTGGAAGCAGGTCAAATTCAATTCCCTAATAAAAATTGTATAAAATATCTTGGTACTTATTTAGACAGAAAACTTCTATGGAGGGATCAAATCCATCAAGTCATAAAAAAGTCTGAAAATCAATGAATATTCTATAAGCCTTTTGTAGAACTAACTGGGGCGCTGATCCAAATGTAGCACTTTTATTTTATCGTACTATGATTCGTCCCATTTTCGATTACAGTTGTCATTTGTATGGAACTGCCGCAAACACTACATTTAAATAAATTAGAAATACAAAAAAAATAAATGCCTTCGGCTTTGTCTTGGATATTTGAATTCTACACCCGTTAATATAATGGAAGTTGAGGCTATAGAACCATATCTGAAATTTCGACGGGGGTTTTTAAGTAATAAATTTATTACTATTATAGAGCCATAGGGAAAAATACTAACTATCTACAAGATATTCATATTTTTTCAATTTTAGATCTAGCTCATAAATAATGTTCAAAGAAAAAATGTTTTCTTCTGGTAAATAGTTACTTGAGGATATCTCACTACCGACATACTTTCTAGACGTATGAAAATCAAGATTCACCTATGTTCTCCCATGTATTAGAAGAGCTTTTCTCAAAACATATTAATACCTTTTTTATGGACAGTAATTTAGATCCAGTCGCTTTTCAATACGGCATAAATGGCCACATTATCAGTTTTACTATACAGACGGATCTAAAGTACAAAACAAAGTAGGATGTGCATTAATTAATATTCAAAGTGGATTTAAAAAATTATTGAAATCGCCATCTGAATCATCGATATACTCTGCTAAAATGACAGCGAATAAATAAATATATAATAAATAGCTAACAACAAAATAAACATTTAAATTTTGTTTATTCTATTCGAAGAGACACTATAAATAAAGTGTTTTTCTTCGAAGATTTTGAGATGTTATTCGAATGTTTATAAAACATACGTGAATTAGAACCGTATGTAGTATGGACCAAAAAAATACAACTTCCCCATGGTATTTCTAATAATGAGTTCAAATTCGTTTAGGTAAAGAAATAATAAATAAGACTTACTCACAATCAATTTAATTTAACTATCAGACGACCGGTTTCGCTTTCTACAATATGCAAAGCATCTTCAGGTCTCGATACAAAGTTAAATAAATGCTGAAATGATAAAAACCCATATTAGGGTGTTGTCTAATAAAGATAAACAAATTAGATGTTATAAATTACAATAACTTAAGTTCTCCATTCAACAATACATAATAGTTTCAACCATGTTCTACCACCCATCAATTAATAAAGTACCGGCATGTAAGTAATGTTTATTTATTTGCTCATTTATTAATTTATTACAATCTAATATACTATTTTATAAAAATTTGTGGGTCTTACCTTGTCTGTTTAATCTTTTAAAAACTTTTTATACCTTTTTATTCATTTTACTCATTTTGAAAAAACCACTGACATGTAATATTGGCATAATTATTGTAATTTATAACATCTAATTTGTTTATCTTTATTAGACAACACCCTAATATGGTTTTTTATCATTTCAGTATTTATTTAACTTTGTATCGAGACCTGAAGATGCTTTGCATATTGTAGAAAGCGAAACCGGTCGTCTGATAGTTAAATTAAATTGATTGTGAGTAAGTCTTATTTATTATTTCTGTACCTATTTGAAATGGACTCACACAAGCAACACATTCATGATTCAAATTCTTTTATTAAACTAAACACTTTTTTAATTTGTAGGTCAAGTTAAAGCCTTAGACAGGGACGAAGGTATGCACGCCAAAGTGTACTATTACCTGATATCCGGCAACGAGGACCGCCCCTTTTTCCTTGATCGGATCGATGGAGGCTTGTACGCAAACAAATCTTTCGACCGAGAAGAGCAATCAGAATACAATCTCCTTATCATAGCAACTAACGACCCAAATTACGTAGTTCCTTCGGAACCAGTAGACCAAGACGAGACCGATAGGAGCATAGCGCACGTCGTTGTCACCATCCTGGACGTCAATGACAACGCTCCCGTCTTTGAGCAACCGGTCTATTATTCTGCCGTTAATGCAATGGCTAATATTAACGATTTTGTTGTTAACGTTACTGCTACGGATCCGGATTTTGGTGTGAATGGATCTATCACTTATTATATCAAGGCGACCAACTTGTACAAATTTAACTCCAACCGGAGCTCAGGGTCTATCATTCCTTCACCTTTCAATATTACCGAACAAGGACAGATTTGTACTGCGACGTATCTAGCAGAAAATAATCAACATAGATTTATAATCGACATCATTGCTAGAGAGAACGCCTTTCCAGAAAGAGAAGCATCGACCAGAGTGCACGTGAGTATTCTTTTCGTAATTATTTCAAATATTTTGTTAAAATATCTAAATAAAGTTTAAAAAATATTTTATAGTCTAGTCTGCCAAGGTAAAAGTGAGGTATAACCTCTGATTTTTTGAAGACGCGTCTATTTTAATAAAATTTTGGAAATAAGCTCTACTTACCCTCAGATAACCCATGAAACTATAACAAACAAGATATGCTCACTTGCCATTCGAATTTTAATCGACTTTGCGCAAGACGTCGTAGCGGGACAAAGCCAGGGAACTTGTGTGTATCTTATTTTAATGATGCATCATATGGCAACGTTGTTTCATTACTATAATGTCTTCATTTGTCTATAATGTCTGAAATATTTTGTCTTAAATTATCCACATCCTTCTTGTGATTAATGTCATTTTTTGCATTATAAATGTAACACATCTCAAGGATTTTTCGCTGAAAATCTCTATTAGTTTCGTCTAAGATGAATATGTCATTATAGAGGACTCTGTGGTCTTTGCTATTAACGTGAATCTAAGAGTCAATCTAAGACTTGTAGATTGTGGTTTGAATTTGCAATCACTTTTATGAAGGGCCAATCTTTTGCTTAATCTTTGACCAGTCTGACCAATATAAACTAAGCCACATTTACATGGGATGCCATATATTACGTTGGCACGTTGTAAGGTAGGAGTAGGATCTTTTAATCTGGTGTAAAACAAGTTAAGCGTTTTTTCATTACTACAACTTCGAAACTTAAACTGTTAACGGTACGTTTACCTCGACGCCATATCGTGCACTAAGAAGTCATAACTAGTTACTTGGTGTAAAAACGTGGTTTGAAAATTAATAAGTAATTTGTAAAATTAATTAAAGAAATATATGAATCTTCGAATTGATTGTGTATATTACAAACCACCATTGCATGTACGTACATTAAAATCGGCAAACAAAACCAAATAGCCGAAATAAAAAGACGCATACAATTCTCTTGGATAGCTTTCGGCAAGTTTAGCTTTATCTTGAAGAATAAAGATTATACCAATGTGTCTAAAACGTAGAGTTTATGACAAATGTATCTTGCCTGTAACTAGATATGGACTGGAGACCATGGCATTTACAAAGTAAACCTTGGAGCAGCTCACTACAACCCAAAGAGCGATGGAGAGGGCCATGCTAGGGATTAGTTTGAGAGGCAGAATTCGAAACATCGACATTCGGGGAAAGAACAAAGATTACTGATTTCGCAGAACGTATAGCAAGGCTCAAGTGGCAATGGGTCGGACAGGTTGCCCGAGATAATCCCGAAAAATGGACACATAGATTAACAAACTGGATCACAATATTTCCTTCGCAATCTTGAGGAGACCTCAACGTATATAGACGTCTTTTAGGTAATTTAAACCATGTGTTAAGAACCACCAGGTTGTTCCCTTGGCAAAATTCAACAAAGCGTGTGACATTCAACAATCTCCCATAAATATGTTGATGTCGTCTAATTTTATGTGTTTGAAATATTTTGGAATCCACTACTAGTTAATGGATTTTTGAATTGCTCATTTCATCTTGATTTAACAAGCTCATTTAATACATATTTACAGAGATGGTGCATAATATATTGCATATATTTCTTAAAATTGGAAACTGGAATAAGTTTTATTGTCACTACAAATCAAAGAAGTTTCAGACATCAACACCGTATGAATTGCCTTTCTAATTCCAGTTTTTTATTCTAATTTATTTATTTTTTAGTATAATGAGAAACCTTAGTTAAACTGTATATAAGTAGACATATTTTTACCACAAAAATAGTGCTTTTGTTTATCTTGCATTGATATGTTTTAGGTTTGGATCTTCGAGCCAGAGCAGCTGATTAGAGTAATTCTATCGCGACCCAAGGAAGAAGTGATAAAGGAGAAAGAAGAAATCTTAGCAGAATTGAGCAATGCTACACAAAGTCTGGTCATTATCGATAAAATTAGATATCACATTGATGATAATGGAGTGAAAAATGAAGACTGGTAATCAATTTTTTTTATTATTTTAGTATTTTTTTATTATTAGAAACTCACTACATTGGGTATAACAGCGTCCTTTACTAATGTGCTGAGATTATGTGTATGTGTTTGTATGTGTGTGTTAGAAAATAGCAAAAAACGACATATTAAGTATCCTAGGACACGTTGTTGCGATGATAGGAAAGATAGCTAAGAATATATTTGATTATCACAAACAAAAGTAATAATTTTATAATATTTTTTCATTTGTAGGTCCGATCTCTACATTCTTGTAGTAAATCCAAAAACCCAAACGATTCTGCCAGTTCCAGACGTCCTAAAAACAATAGATTCGAAGTACGACTTTCTAAAAGACTACTATGCTGGTTTTGCGATAGAGAACGTTGTTCCAGCTTTTATTACAGAAAAGGCCGAAACTTTCGACTCGGCTTTAGTGGCTCTGATAGCTTTACTAGTAGTACTGATTGTTGGTATTGTCACTTTCATTATAATATGTTGTTGTTTACGCCACTGGGTTCTATCTCCGACGGATCTCAAGAAGAAGGACGCTTTGATTAAGAAGGCTATTATCGATGACTTGAATACTACTGAGAATCCTCTCTGGATAGAACAGTAAGTATATTCTTTTTCTTTGATTATCGACACTGCTTTACTTTTTTCCTAAACAATAAGTAAAATTTTCTATATTAGTTTTTTTGCAATCGCGGTAATATATTTTGTTAGAATTCCCAACGATTTTTAACGAACCATCATTTAACTCCAGTTAAATGATGGTTTGTGAATATACTGGAGTATGGGGTCTGGTAGACACTTACTACATATTAACATCAACATCTGAAATATAAAAATATATTTAATGATCAAATAACATACAAACATTCAAAGTTGATATGTTAATGCTTATTAGTAATTAGTTGAATGGATAATACAGTTGTAGGAGCAATAATAGTATATTACATAACGAGAGTTGTAAGAAGCTTATTACATGCGAGTAAAAAAGTTGCGCGCGAGCCGCGTACCGGCGAGCGCAGTAATTTTACAAGCATGTAATAAGCTTACAACTCAAGTTGTGTACTATACTTTTTCTACCATTATTTTCGTTTATAAAAATAAAAATTAAATTACCACTATATTTACACTGGACAGATTAATAATTTTTAGTCTGTCAAAATAACGTCTGTTAATTCGTTTCCATGGTAACTCGACCAACTGACTTACAAGGCTTATGTGATATTACACATTTTTATAAAACATGAAGCGTAAAGGCCTATTCTCAACTATAGTGCCAGGCATGTGCTCGGCTTGTGCCCTGCTCGACACGTGCAAAGTTACTTTAACGTTATTTAAATGGGTTTAGCGATGGTCCGTTCTCACTACAAGTGCTCGGAGTGGGAACGGTCCGTGCCCGGCATCGGACAATCTTTTCAAACAATATTTTCCTAGCCCATGCCTGGCACATTCCTTGCACAGTCCTACATAGTGTGAATACTTCAGACGAGTTTCGACAGGCAAAATGGTGCGAAAAAAATTATTTTCACATGATACTGATGAATTTTTAATAGAATTAGTTCGTGAGAGAAGTGAATTATACGATTTTATGAATCGACTGTATGCAGATGCAGCACATCAGGCTCAGGTATGGTGGGATATTGGAGAAAAAATTAAAATAGGTAAATAAAACACTATATTTTATCTAGGTAATAGACCACTGCCGATAATATTTCAAACAAAACAATAATAGTAGGATAAAAACTCGTTGGAAAAGAAAGATGATATGAGAAATAAAAGGAAAAATAATTTACGGGCGACCTGAGTTCGTTCCAAAAATTAGTTTATCGTGATTTCCTAGAGCAAGTCGAACTATATATCTACTAAAGCAAGTAGAAACTACAGAAAAAAATATTTTTGTACTTAAAGTAACTGGAACCATTATTGATTGGTGCTATAATTTTGATGTGCTTTTCATCTAGGGTTCCTAATGCCCTTGGGAAAATTCCACGACAACCAAAATTTTTTGGCAATCTGTTCAAAATCGCATTCTGCTGGTAATTCTGCTGAAAATTCGGCAATTGACATTCTATAATATATATACAATTTTGACGCATCATCCTTGAGTTCTTTATACAATGTATAGTATTCTCCTTCTACTTTTCTTTTCTTAATCATTGGATGTATCCAAAACCTCATTTTTTAACTTTATCTCTTATATTCTCGTCTTCTTCGGTACCCAAAGTAAAAAATGCAATTTTTACTAAAGTTGCAGAGGAAAACTGCACAACTACCCACCTACACGTCTAACCGACTGCATGTGCAAAATACCGCTGAAAGCATGCTACGAGCGCGAATAGTGTGGATATTTACCAAAAGCATGGCATGTGCCGGTCAGGTGACGAGCACGGGCCTGGCACGTCTAATGAGAATAGACCTTAATTTTTTTTATTACGTGCTAGTCATTACGTGTCAGTATCTGTTATGATGCATTTACTTAGCATCCAAATAGTAGGTAATATACAATTTTCCGCAAATCGCCAGGAAATTTTGACATTCTTGTCAAAATTTCTGATATTTCCGTACAGTTGTTAGTGTTCTACATAAATTAAATTTATAAGCGTCAAGTTTGACAATTCAACCTCAATAAGTTTCCATAGTAACCCAAGTAATTTTATTAGGAATTTCAAAGCACCATTTATTTGGGAATAAAATTATCGCGTTTTTTTTAAATCGATCAATATCTGTCGAATTATAAACGATTTGCGGAAAAATAGTATGTTTACCTAGTAGGAAAAGCCACATTCCTGGACTCTGTGTTGCTAAGTCTCGGCTTGCGCCTCGACTTAGCAATCTTCACAGTCGTCCAGGAATGTTAAGCTTTTCCTACCCGGTAAACAATGTACTATTACTAGTAAGAGAGTAGAAAAATAAAATTACCTGTTCTAGAAAACTCTTCCATCAAAGTATCAGGACTATGTTTAGCATCAGTTTATTGTCAATGGCTACTGGCTGTATAACGGCATCTATTTCAGTTTTACCTAAAAACCCATCGAGCAAAAAGATAAAAGAGGGAATCTAATCGTTATGAAAAGGAGACCAAAAAAGTGGCCTCTGATGGCGGACATATCCGGAAATGCGAATGCGCCAAATTTAAATTTTCTGACACTTATTAACAATACCTGTAAAATATTTTTCAGACAAGAAAGTTTTAATTAAATATCAACGATAATAGTCTAAAAAGTGACATAATTGGTAAAAAACTTCAATATATAATAAAATTTCATGTTGACAGTTGGGACAAACAATAACATAACCAAACTAAATTTGACTTCTTAAACAAGGAAAGAGACTGTCTTTCCTTGTTTAAAGTGGCCTCTCAAGATAGCACTTCCTGTCTAACAATATTTTTGTGCCCCACTACCTTTACATTCCCTCTTTTATCTTTTTGCTCGATGCTAAATACCACAGAATAATAAACAATCCGAATTGCCACTCTCCATGGAAAATTAAGTACGCGCATCACGTTCGCACAGACTTCCGCCATGTTTTAGATGGAACCAGTGTTGTTTATGTGGTGTGCATAGAAAAAATTACTCCGGTTTAATTGACTTACGGCAATCATAGACATACTATACAATTTTATTAACATTGTTAAATTATAATAACATAAATAATAATATAATTAAACATAAATATAAACAATTACATAACCTCACAAATCATTGTGTGTGTGTTATGTGTTTCTCTTCTAAAACATGGCGCGCGTGCTCAAAAACTTCAAAGGCGGCACCTGAGAGTGGGCATTCTGATTGTTTATTATTCTGTGCTAAAACCACAACATAAATATTACTCAGTATGTAAACATAAAATATGTTATTACGAAAGGGTTAAGACTGATAAAAGATCATTAAATTTCACAATTCCATGTCCTGTTTATATTATGAAAAACAATAAACAACTAATATAAGTAGATACTGTATACTGTATCTACCTTCGAGCCTTATGACTTTCTTTAATGGTTTGTCAGTGCGTTGTGAATGTTGGCTGCGCGAGAGTGTTGTAGGATATGCTTGCATAAATATTGTTTTTCTTTCGTTTCCTTTCGACATGTTATGTGGTTGAAAATGTTGCTCGCACATTGTATAATTTTTATGAAATTCATCCACATGCTTGGAAAGTAAATCTTCCCTATTCGTCTCTAGAAAAAATCTATTAAACTAAAATATAAATGTTGAGATAACTTTTGTAACGCGTTTGAATTTCACATTTAATTTGTTTACCTGCTACGATAACAGGTATTGAAAAAAGACTTATTTCTTCAAATAAAATATATATACAAAAATATGTATAACAGTATTAGTTTTTTTTTATATTAAACAACACTTTTCAACACGAAAATCTTACAAATAATCCATAGAATCTCGATATGTACGTAAATTGTAAACGAACTTCAGTTTTTGTAGGTTGACAGATACACTATTTAGGACATGGCGGATTGGCACATGCGCAAAGAAATTGGGATTGTGAAAAGGGCCTTCGTTTCGCTTTTTTGTGGGTGGTGTATTATGCACATTATATGTGACAGTATTAAAGTCAAACGGAAACATTCGGTTTCCATCGGGAGCTAAGAGGAAATATAATTTTGATCTCTTTCTATTAGGTTAAACATAAATCTATACAGTATCTTTGTTAATATCTCTCTCTCTAATTTTGTAATACTAACGATAAACTTCTTCAAAATCTATTAAATTTTACAGAAAACTGAAAATTTACGAAGAACAGGAGCTTACGATGCAAGTATTCAACGAACCGGATCCAAATATGGCCAACAGAAGAGACAGTGATGATTATGTAAACGTAAGTATTAACAAAATAATAATACAGCTTTTTTTTTAAACATAAAACTGTTTTCAGGAAGACAATGCCTATGCAACAATCCAACATCCCACCAGGAGATCATCATCACATTTGGCTCCCATGAATGGAGCCGACGACCTGGCAGATTACGCCACTCTATCGGGGCATCCCCATAATCGAAATGGTAGTAATAATAGTTCATTAAGGGGAGGATCCAATGTAAGTTGCGTTTTTTTTTATAGATAAAAAATATTATTCCCATATTGTCTTAATTTCTTAATTGGTAAAACATTTTTCATTACTTCTCTAGTGAATTTTTAATGAGGGATATTCTGTACTGATAACTTAAGCAGTTGTAGGGGAAACTTTCCCAATACCTGTCATCTAAAGCTTTTTGGAAACACGTAAAAAATAAAAAATGCAATATTTTAATAGAAAAATGTTTATTGTTCACACAAAAATTGATATTCGCAAAGTTCCATGGATAAACATATCAAATTAACAAATAAAAAAGTTTATTTTTTGTTGTACTACAGAAACACTTTCCGTACCGGAAGTACCGGACACATTCAAAAATACGTTAATATGAAATCAACAAGACTCTTCCTTTGTTTTTTTCTTTGTTCAATCTGTTCTGTTTAGTTTTTTTTTTCGGGCTGGTTGCATATTCTTTTCTTTTTCTCTTCTGAGGGAGATCCAAGTCAAAAATCTCCACTCTTTTCACTTCGTCCCTTACATTGAATAATTTTTCTCCTAGCTTCGTTTGTTAGAGGTGAAACTTTGTCCCTTTCTTTGAATAATTTTCTTTCTATCTCGTTTGTTAGAGGTGAAATTTTGTCCCTCACAATTTGAAATAGGAAAACTTAGGGTTCTGAAGTCCATCGCAGGATTTAGAAGTTCTGGCAGTATCTAAAGATAAAGCTATCACAGTAGAGCTGCTGAAGATGTACAAGGAAAAAAAGTGCACATACTATGGAACACGATTTTAGTGGTTTTCAGAAGAGGTAGATAACTCAGCATCAAACCTGTCTGTTATAGCCAATGGTGGTCCAGATCAAGGCGTTATTGTGCAGAGGACTGTCACTATGGGTTCATTGTCTTCAGAAAAGTGAGCTGCAGCAAGATGGTCAAGATCTGTAAAAATTGTCTTCTGCAATGTTTACAAACCAGTACAGGTAAACCCAGACGTTGCAAGTTTCATCCAACAAATGGCTTGGAAAGCTGTGTTTTAACCAATCCAGCAATGTCCCTTTGGCTCATTTTAAATGGGCGATATTGGTTCATCCACTTTGCTCAAGCCTCATTGTACGCAGCCTTAAAGAGGCTGAAGTTTGTGCGCTAGTGTGAGGGGGTAGACTTATCATATGAAATTGTGGTCTTTCGCATATATAATTACTTGTAGTTCCTTGTGAGAATTGTGGCCATCAAGTATCAAAAACCTGACTTTCCTTAGTGGGATTCACTCGAGAAACAAACATTTTTAGCCAAAACAAAAATGAATTGGTAGTGATCCACCCACTTTGTTCACAAGCAAAATCACTCCCCTGGAGCCTCCTTATTTAACTCTTCTGGTCATTTTAACCCTAAAATACAAATAATAAAGGTAAAAATACCATCACCTGTCGCGTTGTACAGTTACATTTCTGCCACTCTCTCCCGACGTAATTTGACTAAGCTGCTTTTTTTCTTTCTGTGACAGAACCATTAAGGCATTATCATAGACCACTCTCGGCTGATCACAGACACCTTTGAGGGAGTAAAGTTAAATTTCGATAGCAGCGCTTCATATTTGTTTAAGAAGAGGTCCACTTGTGGTTTGTTGAAACCGACAGCTCTTTGAATACTTTTTGACTGTGGTTTTTGCAGCTATCTAGCGGACTTTAGCGGGAAACACACTCTGTTCGGTACTGGACAAGTCTTCCCTTATAACGTTACGAACGATACATTTTATTCACTACCTTTATAAGTATTTTATACCTTTATGGACCTGCTTTATTTGTAAAATCGTTGACGCTCCGATTTGTTATAATTGAGTATCCTGTTTTGTGTTTTACTGATTATGTCCAATTCCCCATTAACTTTTCGAATGACCTTTGTATACATTTCGGCTGGTTAGCGCTGATAGAATAGTTGACACACAAAAAGGTGGGATTATTAAATTGTTAATAAATAAGCTGTTCCACATAAAAATTCTTAAGAGATAAAATAACTTTCAAGTCTTAAACTTATGTCTCTTTTATTCGTTTCAGTATTACGAAGCAGCTATGGGTTTCCAAGGTTCCACCTTCCAGGTACCAGAGAGACTTAGCAACGATTATACTCCATATGGAGTTAAGTTTGATGGTTCTGAACTAACTATCAACAAGAGCCATCACCAGCCGGATTACGTAGCCGAACTGATTTAGTTTACTGACTGTTCATCATCAACAACGTGACAATATTGACTACCAAGCGAAGTGATATGTTCGAATTGGTTTTTATTATTTATATTTGTGGGTTACTGATTCTTTTAGATAAATGCATATGCCAATAGGACAATTTTGATTATTTATAGTATTAAGTAGTAGTAACCAAACATTTGAGAAATACTCGTACGTACAGATAATGTGAACTAAAAACTTTAACAACATACTTTGTATATTGTTAATGTTCATTTGTCAATATTCCATATACAAATTTTAGCTATTTTACAGATACTTTACAAATTTATTTTTATAGGTACTTAATTCGGTCTTAGTTGTTTTGAACCAAATCGTTTAGTACACGAACTTGCTAATATTTTTTTACCCCTTGATGTCCATTTTTGAATAGAATTTCACTATTTGTCTATACTGCGTTTCAATAATTAAAATCAGTGTGATTGTATATTACAAGCGGGTTTGCCATATTTCGCTCATTCTGTGAATTTTAATAAATAAATCCTCCTTTTACTTTCATTTGCTTCTTTTTCTTAGCGGTCATCAAACAATTAATAATTTTCTGACGGTACTACGGTACATACATCGAGCAAAAAGACAAAAGAGGGAATGTAAAGGTAGTGGGGGCAAAAATATTGTTAGACAGGAAGTGCAATCTTGAGAGGCCACTTTAAAAAGGAAAGACAGTCTCTGTCCTTGTTTAATGAAATCAAATTTAGTTTGGTTATGTTATTGTTTGTCCCAACTGTCACATGAAATTTTTTTTATATTGAAGTTTTTTACCAATTGTGTCACTTTTTTAGGACTATTATAGTTAATATTTAATTAAAATTTCTCGTCTGAAAAAATATTTTATAGCTATTTGTTAATAAGTGTTGGAAAATTTTAAATTTAGCGGCCTTTGCATTTCCGGATATGTCCGCCATCAGAGGCCACTTTTTTGGTCTCCTTTTCACATCGAGCAAAAAGACAAAAGAGGGAATCTAATGAATATGAGAAGGAGACCAAAAAAGTGGCCTATGATGGCCCAACTGTCACATGAAATTTTTTTTATATTGAAGTTTTTTACCATTTGTGTCACATTTTTAGACTATTATCGTTAATATTTAATTAAAACTTTCTCGTCTGATAAAATATTTTATAGCTATTGTTAATAAGTGTCAAAAATTTAAATTTATCGCCTTTGCATTTACGGATATGTCCGCCATCAGAGGCCACTTTTTTGGTCCTCCTTTTCATATCGAGCAAAAGACAAAAGAGGGAATCTAATGAATATGAGAAGGAGACCAAAAAAGTGGCCTCTGATGGCGGACATATCCGGAAATGCAAAGGCGATAAATTTAAATTTTTCGACACTTATTAACATAGCTATAAAATATTTTTCAGACGAGAAAGTTTTAATTAAATTATTAACGATAATAGTCTAAAATGTGACACAAATGGTAAAAAACTTCAATATAAAATAAATTTCATGTGACAGTTGGGACATACAATAACATAACCAAACTAAATTTGATTTCTTAACAAAGGAAAGAGACTGTCTTTCCTTGTTTAAAGTGGCCTTCTTAAGATGGCACTTCCTGTCTAACAATATTTTTGTTCCCACTATCTTTACATTCCCTCTTTTGTCTTTTTGCTCGATGCCTCTTCATAACGGTTAGATTCCCTCTTTTGTCTTTATGCTCGATGGGTTTACATACCTACTGAATAATGGACAGCAGGAGTGTGACGTCACGGCGGTCATATTGTTGCTTTTACTTTCAAAACAAAAGTTGAAATGCCAAATCTCAAGACTTTTTAATTTCTATAAAGTTAACATTTTGCTTCCTCTGCTGCTTTTCTTTTAAGTGTAGTGTTTTTTTACGATAATACCATCACAATTCAGTGTTCTGTTTATATTAAATATAGTTTAAAAGTATAAATTAAAGAAATTCTAACCTTACTTTATTGATGCATGCACTTTATTGCTATTTTTATAAAATAACATGCTTTATTTTTACACAATCTTGTAAAATTGTTGTAGTAACTATTAGAATACTTAAATATTGCAAAAAGCGGAAAGATTCTGTAAAAAAAATGAAAAAGTAACGAAAAATACAAATTATCCACACTAAACAACGTTTGTCTGGAAAGTGAAACTGACAGATGTCAATAAAATCTACGTCATCACTCCGGCGGTCCATTATTTATTCTTTCAATTCACTCGTAAACGGTCAAAAAAAAAATATGTTAATAAAAAACATTTATAGTGTTAAAGTTTCAGACTATTTTATGTTAGGCCATTTTGAAAACAATAATTCAAGATGTAAAAATTTTTAATAAACCCCTTGCCAGGTTGAATTGTTGTTTTGAAAATTGACTAATAATAAAATAGTCCAAAACGTCAACACAAGTTGTTTGTTGCATTTGCTTTATAATATAATGGAAAAATAGGAACTATTTTTAATGAATAAAAATAAAGAGTAAATAAGATATTTTTTAATTAAACATAAAACTTACGTTACTATTCATCAGCTTCATCCGTGTTACTACAAATAAGATCACTGTCACTGTCCGTCCTATACTCGGTTCGCTATTCCCAGTCCGAACTGTCTAGTGAATTTAGTAATTATTTTTTTGCGAAGTTAGTTACGTTTTGACATGGTTTTGACAGACTAAAAGTGGCTGGAAAATATATTACAACAAGCACACGTACACGTAGCCAATATTAATAATAAACCAAACTAAATATGTAAAATAAAATAGAACTTTGCGAATTACCGACAATCAATATTTATTTATCTGCACCATATAATAAACAGTTATCTTAAATTATAACACCTAAAATATATTTTTTAAATATATACTACCCAAAATTTGATGGGTTTAGTATGCACTTCCACTATTTAGAATAATTCTTCTTTTTTTCAAAGAATAAAGAAGTCTGCAATAGTAGTATACTTGAGCTATTAATACTGAGAAGTAGGAATTATTGTGTTGTAGGTTTCCGACAATGAATCTGTCAAAATTTACCCGAGCTAAGCGAATGGAGGTATACCAATGTTTATAATAATTGGTTGAATATCATCCATTCATGTTTGTCGTGTCTCGACCATCGAGCCAAAAAGATAAAAGAGGGAATGTAAAGGTAGTGGGGGCATAAATATTGTTAGACAGGAAGTGCTATCTTGAGAGGCCACTTTAAACAAGGAAAGATAGTCTTTCCTTGTTTGAGAAGTCAAATTTAGTTTGGTTATGTTATTGCTTGTCCCAACTGTCACATGAAATTTTATTTATATTGAAGTTTTGTACCAATTGTGTCACTTTTTAGACTATTATAGTTTAATATTTAATTAAAACTTTCTCGTCTGAAAAATATTTTATAGCTATTTGTTAATAAGTGTTGGAAAATTTAAATTTAGCGCCTTTGCATTTTCCGGATATGTCCGCCATCAGAGGCCACTTTTTTGGTCTCCTTTTCATAACGATTAGATTCCCTCTTGTATCTTTTTGCTCGATGGTCTCGACACATGTCTGTTGCTTCTCCTATTACGTGTTTTATTTAATTTTTACATTTTACTTGGGTAACTTGTGAGTATGCTTCCGTAATTAAATTCCTAACTGCTTCTTCTTTAAAAGTTTTGGTGTGTTCGGCGATATATCTTTTCACTTCGCTTCATACAAACTCTATGGGGTTGAGCTCACAGTGTAGGCCGGAAGGCGGAGAATTTTTAAATTGTGTTGTGTTAATATCTTCAATTATATATGTCGATCGTAATTTGCCTTATAGTTGTTGACAACTTCCAACAGTTCAGCTTTACTTAAATAGTTTCTCTTAAATAGTTTTCTTCAAAAAATATATCTTTCAATTGAAGCTATGTTTTTATTTCTTCATTATTAGAATCAGTTTTAGCATCTTTCATTCATCATCTATCATCATCCATCATCCATTACCACAACTGTTATGGGTTGTTGGTAGCTGTTGTTTACTGGCAAATTAGGTTACGTTTGAAACCATTTATTCATGGCAATCTTGGGTGTTTTTCTTTGCAAGAAAAGTCAGTTCTGCTCTATTAACAAAGGCACTTTCACATCCTACATGTAAGAGGACAAAATGAGGACCACGAACTGCAGGAGCTATTAAGCCTGTAATCAGGCCATGAACAAATGCATCTCTATGCGATTTAATGGACGTGTCTACCCATTCTTTTAATACGTTGTGACCTACGTTTACCATTGCTCATCTAAATAGACGATATTGTAGCTTCTTTGCGGTATCGACGAATGAATCGTAGGTAACGACGGTACAAATGATCCCACAGTCGAAGAACATGCAGAGCGACAGACCGAACATAATAATTTGAGCAGTACGTGTTTGTACAATCGTTTTTTTCCTATTCGCTCTGTGCAGTGACCATGGTGAGGGGTACATTGAAACGATGCCAGCGTGCGTAGCGGCGAAATATGACAAGATTGGAATATTGGACAAAATATTTTTACGCATAAATTTTATCAAAATGTGTGGAAATACATGTTGCGTATTTAATTGTGCTAATAATAGCTAAAATAGTGAGTGTAGTTTTATTGGTTCCCAAAGATTAGATATAAATTAGAGAAAAGAAAAAGATGAATTTCGTGCTATTAATATGAAGAAGTAAATATGACATAATTTCTTTTTATGCAATTGAAATAGGTAAAAATTTAAATAATTTACCTTTAATGATATTTCATAAGGCTTCAAGCTAACTGCAGATGACTTTAGCTTTTATATCATAACTTTTACTATTATTGTTTTTAAGTATATGCTCTTTTGCGTGAAAAACTTGATTTGCCGAGTACTAGATTTTTCCCTTTCTTTTCCGTTTGGAGTTGAAAAGATATATTATGACGAATTTTGAGAAACCCAGTCTTTAATATACATTTATTTTGTACATAAACTAAAAAAAATATCGTTTAAAAACTAATTTATTAATAATTGTCAATGTCGCATGTATTTAACAATGTCAAAACATATGTCAAATGTTTAACCTGAAAATTGGGACTCCAAAATTGTCAGATGAAGGCGGTAGGTGCCGCGTCAGTCACGCACGGAGCGAATATAGCAGTTGCTCTCTAAGATCAAGAAAATGTTTAATGAATATCTCGATTCAAGTAGAATTATAAAAAAGACATTAACTTTCTGACAGAGTATTTCTTGATTGTCTGTACAGTGGCGACGTTAGAGTATGAAACTGGAGAAGCACTATTATGTTTTTAAATAATTTAAATAGTGCTTGAAAGTTTCTTTTATGGGTTGAACACTGGTTGGTCCCCTATTTGGCGTCCTCGCTTTTTATTTAATTTTTTACTTAGTTATTGTAAATTGCCATATCATAATCTTTTATTTTATTTATAATTACTTATAGATTTTATTTATTTTCATTTTTTCTAAAATAAATATAACTGTATACATTTGTACATAGAAAATAAAAATATCTTTATGTAAGAATTGTTTTTTTCATTTATGTTACTTTATTTATAAATTAGTACCAAAGTCATATAACTCTATACTAATTCTGATAGAATTTGATATTCCAAGGTTCCAAACAGCACCCTCAGACTGCTTTTTGTCTACCAAAAGAAGACTATTGCCACAGAATAAATAACAATCAGAATGCCCACTCTGCTTGTGAGCAGAGCATAATGATGTTAAAGGATCTCTGGGGTACAGATAGGCACGGCGTGGAAATATTTCGACTGGTTATGAGTCTCAGAAGGTTCAAGTTTCTTATGAGATGTCTGCGTTTCGATGACCGCATCACAAAACCTGAAAGGAAAGCTGTTGACAACATTGCTCAGATTCGTGAACTCTTCGACGATTTTGTTCATAATTGCAAACATAGCTATTCACTAGTACAGTGTGTGACTATTGACGAAAAACTGGAGGCTTTTAGGGGACGTTGCAAGTTCAAACAATATATCCCTTTAAAGCCGCCCAAATATGGAGTAAAAATGTATGCTATGTGTGATGCAGTTACTTTTTATAGTTATAGTCTGGAAGTATATGCTTGAAAGCAACCTCAAAGACCCTTGGATCAAAGTAATAAACCATCTGATATCATTAGAAGATTGGCACAACCTACTTATGGAAGGGGGTGCAATATAACGGCAGATAATTGGTTTAAAGATGTGCAACTTGTTACCGAATTAAAAAGTAATAGACTATCGTATGTTGGCACACGAAAAAAAAATAACTGCCAGTAGATCTGCTAAATGTAAAAGGGCGACAATCACAGTCATCTATGTTTGGTTTTGGAGAACACTCCACTATTGTTTCCTACGTACCAAAAAAGAATGGCAATATTCTTGTTATATCTTCTCAGTATTACTATGGATTCCATAGATCAGACGTCAGGACAAGCTACGAAACCAGACATGATCACATATTATAATAAAACCAAGTCAGGTGTCGACGTTGTCGATAAGCGTTGTCCTACAACGTTGATAAGTCCTACAACGTTGCTAGAAACACACATCGTTGCAGGCATTAATGCCCAAGTGATTTCAATCGGAAATGGACAGGAGAATATGCGGCGTCGCCTTTTTCTTCGGAAACTAGGCCATGAGTTAGCCTTACCACAATTACAAAAAAGAAGTCTTATAACACAAAGTATACCACGTTCTCTTTCTGAAGCGCTCAGCAGATTTAGACCAACAGAAGAGCCCGATGAAAAAGCTGAAGTAGTGGCTGCAGAAGATGTAGCTTAAAGCGTCGTCGCTGTGCTTTATGTTACATATCATGAAAGACCAGGTTGACCAAAACCATTTGCAAGAATTGTTAACGAGCAAGTTAAGGTTGCGACCGACGGAAGGTTAAAGTCATTTACTTAATAAACAAATAATAATAAACAAAATTTGTTTAGTTTATTAATGTTTTGTCACATATCCTCCCAATGCAAAATTGAAATGAAGTTGGATTATTAATAGCAAAAACAAACGAAGGAAGGAATGGACTAAGAGAGAGGACTGAAATTGATGGGACAAGGAGTAACGACATGAGGAATAAGTGCCAGAACAACATAAAGGTGGGACTGCCAGACAGAAAATATAGTAAAAACTCAAGACAAGTCACCACTAATCAGAAGAAGAAATCAAACATTTATCAGATTACGCAATATAAATAAATGTAGGTAAGTAAAACTTTATATTTGCAAAATCATATTTCATCGTTTTCCTTCATTTTATAATCAACTTTTGAACATTTTTCACATTTGGTCCCGATGAAGATAGCCTTAAATGAGCTTGACAGAACGAAATGTTGGTGTTGGTGGCAGTGTTGAAATTTACATTAAAAAAGAAACATATGCAAAAACAAGTCAATAAGATATACAAAAATTAATAGTTTAGAATTACCAAAAAAGAAAAAGTAAATAGTTCGAAAAAAAATTAAGAAGTAAATCAAATATTTTATACTGGCGCTATCTGTCGGCAAATAGACAAAGTTTTGCAGTTGCATCGAATTTATTACCGCCTTGTTGCCATAACTACAGTTTGTCCCGTTACTGTATGCCGGTATGCATTAAGCCTTATTATTAAATTGATTTGTTCCTTGACTGACACACATAAGTTATTGTGTTTGCTTTAAGTATATATAAAACCAGTATTATACTAGTTTACTATATTTTTTAATTATTTATGAAAATTAATATATTAACAACACCTAATGAATACCGGAAAAAATGTAAACTAGGCAACATCGTGGCAGATTCAAATAATCTGCAATTTTATTTTTATTTTATTATTTATTAATAATAAAATAAAATTTAATATTTTTAGAGAAAAATAAATTAAAATAATACATAATGATATGTTCATGATGATATATATAATATGTTATATATTTTATGTAGGTAGTGCTGTATGGTAATGGATGTGGTATTTTATTATTATATGCATAAAGGTCATTTTTATTGAACCTGAAAATTATATAATTTACATAGTCAAGACATTTAAAAGGTATTTCAATTTGGTCATAGACATTTAAATTCTCAATTTTTATATTATATTTTCTTAATGCTTTGTCCATTGGCCAACAGGTAGCGCTAGGAGAACGGTAGAACAATTTCTTGGATTATTTTTTTTATAATATAAATAAACTGTTTAAATGTATTTATTAAGTTGTAATTATATAATAATTATTTTTTAATATCTTTATTTATAGGATATCCATTACACATAAATAACCTCTAACTAAATAAATCTGAACTAAAAGATAGATGACAGATATAAATAATATAAAAGAAGACGAAAAGTTAGGTTATAGAATTTTTCAAATCAGAAATAAATTTTATCTAAGTAAAAATAAATGGCTCTAAGGAAAATACTATTCAATTCTGTTAATTTTCAAAAATTATTTCAACCTGTCATAATACAATGTAATCATATTCATAGTTCGTCGACGAACCATGCATGGACAAACCAGGAAAGAAACACAAAAAAATGGTTGAAGTATAATGAAAAAGTGTATCCGCCTCAACAACCAGATGAGGAAACAAGAAAAGCAGTAAGTGTTTTTTAATAAGATCCAAATTAAACCACTGTTTGAGTTTAAGGTGATGTTTATCAATCAGGATTCTATTGATCTGTACTTTTTCTACTACTGTGAAGTGTCTTTGGTTTTTGTTTTAAAGTATATCTTGATATTTCATCTTGTTAACTTTTAGTTTGTTTGCCATCAAAGGACAAATATTAAATACAGTCCATGGAAGATGTGGTACATAGCTTGCTTAATTAGGGGTATGCCAGTAGACGAGGCTATCAAACAGTTAAAGTTTGTAGTTAAAAAGGGGGCAAAAGACGTTAGGGAAGTCCTGGAAGAAGCCAAGGAGTTAGCTGTTAAGGAACACAATGTGGAGTTTGCCAGTAACTTATGGGTTGGTAAGTATTTGCTTTTCTCCAACTAATTTTATGAATTTGGTAAGAAAAACAATTTCTTTGTGTATTTCAGCTGAATCGTTTGTGGGGAAGGGTGCTGTCATTAAAGGTATGAGAAGGCATGCTAGGCAAAGGTTTGGAATAGTTGAATATGTCCATTGCCACTACTTTGTTAGGCTAGAAGAAGGTCAACCACCAGAACATTATTATTTATCACATCCCAAAGAACCGCATGAACAATTAGAGGATTGGTTAGCTCAAATGAGAAGAAGGAAAATCACCAATTCATTGTAATTTTAGTGTAGATATCTAAATAAATGTTTCCTATATGAAGGTTATCTATCTTTATAACACACTATTAGCTCAAACCTAACTGATACAGCAATGACACATAAAAAATGTAGTGATAATCAATGTCCATTTGGGTCATTATTCATATAAACCGTTTATTTGAGACCAAGAATGAAAAGAAATATTTGTTCAGAAAAATATCAGCTGAATAGGAAAATAAAACAAGTTTTTAAATGTTTTTAATTATATTTAATTATAAAATAGGGTAAATAATAAATACATTTTTAATACTTTAACAATAAATAAAAAATATTTAAATAAATTAACGAAGTAAATTAAGTACTACTAAACAAATAAGTCAATAATTCGGGTTTGCTCATTTCCCTCTTATATTTCTGGACAATTTCTTGGATTTTTAATCTTCTTCGCAGGTGTGGTGGTTGATAACTGAAACAAAAACCATATTTAATATATTTTAAATATAGAATTAGTTAGGTTAGGGAGTTGTTGCTCTATTTCAAATATAATCAGGCTTTATTAGTGGACCAATGACACTAATTTAAATTTTCTTCCTTATCATCCTTCTTTATACTTAAAAACTTTACCTATCCGAGTCCAGTCTTCTTCTTCTAGCCATATTCATAGCAGTATGTCTAACTAATGGCCCTAAAGCTCTTCTGCTAACAACCATACCATCTACTAGAGGAGAAGCCAGTCCAACTCTGCCGGTCGGTCCTTGCAGATGAACTCTCAATAAGCCTGTGGATAATATATGTAGAAAAATCACTAAAACATCGCTTGTTTTTTGGTTGGTTCCTTTTTCTAGACCGGTATTCATAGAATTGAGAAGATCACCTACAAAAAATAGAAACATACTCATAGATATTTTTAAAACTAGATATTTTGTATTTCTTGAATGCCTTACTTATCGGTAAAGTCAGATGATCTTCGAAACTTTCCAGCCATACAACCATTATTTTTGTATTAGTGTGTGGGTGTAATATGGACTTGTGCGACATCCTCTTTGGTGGAACTGGTTGTTTGTCCAAGTCCAAACTCAATGCTCTTTTATCAGACCAAGGCTTATCACTCCAAGCTGAAAAATTTTAACATCATTATACTTGGTTTTAATGAAATGAAAAAAGTATCAAGGAACCAAGACATTCTCCGCTTATTTGTTGGCCTAACAAGAGCATACGATACAGTGCCAGTAAAAAAATATAGCAGGTCGTGGAAAACTTTGTAATAAATAAAATACCATATCAGGAGAATTCCCAGTAACAAAAGGATGATGTCTTTCTCTGGTGATGTTTAAAATATATCTAAATGAAGGCAATACTCTCTGCTGATGCACCCTTCATTTCACTGGTAACCAAGTGGTTAAGGCCCAGGACAAAGATTTAATATATGTGCATTGTGAACATAACCATAGAGATGAAAGCTAAAGAAATTTGACAGTTAACGTCAAAACTTTGTTTCTTTGCTTTTAAGATATGCATGTTGACTATTATTATTGAATACTTTATGTTGTAACATATTCCGTCAACCTGTTGCTCATACATTTTTCAAATATTTTCGAAAAACTTGGCAACAAGCTTATTGGCCGATAATTCTCAATTTGTGTCATGCTACCTTTCTTGAGTAAAGGTCCAATCACTGCTACTTTCAGTTTATCTGGGAACACACCTGCTTTAAAAGAAGTATTTACTGCATATGTTAATGACATGATAATCTCATTTACACATTTTTTAATGACAGATGTTGAAATTTCATCATCACCACTACTATCTCAAACCTTTTATAATAAAAACAATTTCTTCCTCGGTTACAGGCCTTAAATACATAGATCTCTTTGCTTGGAGTTTAGGGAAAATTCAGATACCAATAATAGTGATGCACAATTTAAGAAATAGTCGTTAACATTATTAGCCACTTCTCCTGGAATTTGAATTTCCCTCTGTGTTGTTAATATTATACTTACATGAAACGTTGTTTGAGTTAAAACTTGACTGTTCAGTCGTTACTTCTGGTGGTTTACACTGAGATGGAATGACGAAAGCGATTTCAGAGCAGGCATCAGCCCAATACAACACGTGACTTGAACCGTCATATAATTTCTGTTTCTTGGTACACTCATGGTCAGTCACAGGTGCTATTTTCCAGCTGGTAGAAACATGGCCGGTCCAACCTGGTTGTTAAAAATAAATCAATTATACTCTTGCAACATTCTATTTTTAAGTATATCATTACTTTCGTGCTTTATTAACACTATTTGTACAGTTTAATGAATTAATTGTAATAAATACAACAAGAAAACCTGAAAAACAAGATGAATTTCTTGCAGGAACGAAGTAGATATTAAAATAAATGACTAACACTTAAATCATTTAATTATACACTAAATAATCAGTAATCAATAGTAGTTTATACTCAAGGATACTGGGCCTCCAGTACAAACCAAAGTCCTGATGATGACACCAGAATCGATATCGAAATCTCGACGCTAACAAAATTCAACTACGTCCAAGAACTATTGTAGTAACTTAACAAGCAATCACTATGTACTGACCTGGATGACTGCTAACCTCAACGGGCCACCCCAAAGTGTGGATGAACTCCGAAAAATAGGGAGACAACTCATGTTCATTCAAAACGTTGCCTACTATGTCCTGAGCGTGGCTCTGCTGCGATTTTACGTAAAAAACGTGTACGGTATCGCACGTTCGCGGACTCATGTTGTCTAACAGGGCGAGATCGTTGCAAAAATCATTTGCGCTACTGTCTATGACCGCTAGATGTCCATTTTCTTCTTGTCCGTTCTAAAAAAAAAGAAACATGCTGTGGTTAACGGAAGGCACTGTTATACAAACAATAAAAATGTGATTTTATCCTATTAAATACTATTGGAATGTATTTTTTATAGTTTAATCAGAAAATTGGACATAACCTAAATATATTTGTAAAACTGGAGATTGCTATTTGCTGAAAATACATTATTATCACATTATTGTCTGCTGACTGAAATTCAAATGTTTATCAGTCATCCTCACAGTTGTTTGGAAATCTCTTCAAACACTCTTGAAAATTATTCTTGGAATCACTGGAATCTTTATCCTTTTCTCCAACTGTACGTGCAACTGCTTCACGGAAAGATATTTTGGCAGCATTTTCGACAAAACACGCAAATGTTCTTTTTAAAGTTTTAAATAGCCTGAAACGAAAACCAAAGACGTAACTTGGTCTTTTGGCAATTCACTTTCTGGACTCTATTTTTTTTTTCAACTACTCCCTTGCCAACGATGGATCATACGTAGCAATCCACCATTTATTGCGGCGTTATCAGCTTCATGACGCCATAAACCGCAGCTTAAGTAGACAAAAATGAGCTTGTTTCCAGTTAACTGTTTGACCACTCTCAATCGTGACATTTTGACATAACATCAAAAGTCAGTTCATGCGATATTTTACGTGGACTAATATTGCGTGAAATTGCGTAGAACGCAACCTTTTAGATTTAACGTGACATTCGACATGGAACTTGACAGATTATATAAAATGCATAGACATAATAAGAATTGTTATCATGTCGATGGTAAATTCAAGTGTCAAATAAATGTAAGTGACGACACCATCTTTTCTTTCGTTTTTGGTTGTGTCAATGTCTTACATCAGGTAGGTATAAATAGAGAATTATGTGAACATATCTTACCTCTGCTTCATCTAAAGAGAGCAATCCAAAGTGAGACAAAAACAAACGTGCTGTCTGGAATTCGTGGCACACTGGAGGAGGTGCATAGTCTGATAAATTATCCTGAACTTGTGACTGGTGTATATTATTTTCGACTGAGGCTTGTCGGTTGACAAGTTGCTGTATAACGTCAATTTCCTTCTTAATGTTTTCGTCTTCGGATAATACTGATTCTAAAGATGGAATGGATAAGTCTCTAAAAAAAACCGATATTTCTCTTTCATTCACAATCACATACATCGATTAAAAAAATTATACAGTGACTAGAAATGTTCTAAAATCCATACAATATTTCATTAAATTTAAAGTTCAATAGTTTATATATATTCTAGGATTGATTGAATGGAGGCAGAGGTTAGAAAAAAGAAGTAGATGAAGACCCCGTACTTGTTGGACCGATGATCTCAAGAAAATGTCAAGAAATTTAATAAAAGTGTTCAAGATAGAGCACAATGGACAAAAATGAGGGAGACCTATATCCAGCAGTTGACGCAAAGGGCTGGGTGATTAGGATGGTGATGATTTTATCGAATTATTTGTAGCATTTTAGGGATTATTTTTTGACAGAATATTCATGATTATTCTGGGAGATAGCGAAATGTAATGGGTATTTACAGATGTTTAAGGCTCTAATAAGGAGAAGATGAAAAAATGTCAAGTTTTGAGAGGAGTTAATGGAAATAACAGACTTAAGTCTGTTTTTAGATTGAGATTTTATGTTCTAGATCTAGACGATTTTAATAGCAGAGTGAGCAAAAAGGAAGAAACACCTACAACAGTTTTATTACTTTACTATTTTTTATTTAAAATGTGTAAAGTTACGTTTTTAAGAAAGCTAATTTTATTAACTTTTCTTCATGATTATTTAGAGGCACTCAAAATTCAGTGGTGCAGTAATTTTTTAAATAAGAAATCTCAAAAAAATTGAAGGAGTACATCTTTAAATTTTACCGGAGCATTTCCAATTTAGATGGACCACACTGTATATAACCTTATATAACAAATATCACATGCTTATAAATACAAAATATACTCACACTTTGCACTGCATAACCCTTTCTACGCTATCGGGAAAGTATTTTTGCTTAACCACCGGTCTTACGGGAGTCTCTTGCATCACCACTGGCCGACAGGCGTTGTGGGCGTGGTACTTCGTTCCCGACTTGTGTCGTGGTAGGTGCCGCAGCTGCATGGTCCAGGCATGTCGGCCGAAAGGACCTCGTATCAACAGTGTTACCGTTGGTTGGGGATCCTACAGATAAAAGTTAGTTTCAAATCTGCTTATCTCTTTATCTTCAAAAGTGAAAACTAGAAGTCATCTAGTCGTCCGATATTTTTCTTGTTTCGTAAAGCGGACAACTTAGAAGACCTACAAGTTCTTATGAACAAAATCACGTATTACAGTCAACAATATGGACTCAATATAAACGTTAAGAAGACAAAGCTTATGATAATTAGCAAGAAAAGGATAACAGAAGGTCAACTCTACGTCAAACAATCCCTGTAGAAAGAGTAGACGCACTACAACTACCTCGGCACCATAATAATGAAGAATGGACCAACAACCAGGAGATTAGAGCACGCATCGGAAAGCTAGATCCACCTTCAATCGGATGGGAACTTCTTCAAGAGTCACAATCTCTCTCTTGATACAAAAGTAAAAATGCTGCGATGCTACGTCTTCTCTGTCCTTTTTTATGGTGTTGAATCGTGGACCTTGAACGAAGATATGTGCAGAAAACTGGAAACATTTTCGAAACAGACTTTCGCATTTTTTTCTTCCAACTTTGCTTTTAAATGATCTTTGTAAGAAGCATTTCATGTTTTTAACACCATTTTTTTATGTGACTTTAGATATGACAAAATATAATAACTTATGATAAAAGCTTTCAAAACTAATAAACATACTATCAAAATTACGTACCTTATCGTTTCCGAGAGGTTCCTCCAGAAGAGCCAACATTACAGATCCTTCAGTAACGAAGTACCTAAACTTTTCCACTGCTGCTGACTGATCATTGCAAGTGTTTGGCCAGGAGTTGCAATGTTTTAACAACGACAATTCGTCCAACAAGGAAGATATCGACTCTGGACCGCATTCGCTAGGAAAATAGAAGACTTGTTCCAGAACACAGGTCAGAAGACTTTCGGCCGCATCTCGCACTCTCATAGAGGCCGGCTTCAGATCTTTTTCTTCTTTCATTTTGATCGGCTCGCCAGGTTTTCCGATCGACTTGGTACCTGATATTCCCAACTCAGCAACTTCCAACACCTGTAAATAAATAATTATTGGGTACATTTGTGAACGATTTAAATGACGAAACATAAGAAGCTTTTTCTTTATCTTGAATTACGAAAGCTGATTAGCAAATGTTAGCCATCATGTTGACGATTATCACTAACTAGACAGACCAAACCCAATTTTATTTCGGAGAACTTTGCGACCAATCAATCTGTGACTTACATCACAATTTTAACGTTTTTCATTAACGAGGAGTGCGACCGTGGATACATACTTCAACCTCTTTATTAATATCATTTCAATGTTTTTCTTTAAGAGAGTAAATCATTGTTCTGAAGCTATTTTCTTGCAGCATTTACCAGAATTTCAGTATTTGTATGAAAAACCTTTTTTTTACTGATTAAAATTGAAGAGTGGACGATCTATGTTCCGATGCCAATATTCCCCTATGAGATCTAAGTGCCAACTTCACTCTAGTGGTTGCAAACGAAGCCCAAAGATGGAGCCGCCTGCAAGTCTGGCATCATGTACTTTGCTAATTGATCTAAGTGCCAGTATATAGCTTGACGTGTTGTCAATAATATCTATTATTATTATGTATATTTTTGCGTTTTAACGTGTATACAATGGATTCTGGTGCGTTTGGCGACAAAAAGAATACGAAATCAATAAGGAAAACAGAGGGAAGCTAGATTGAGTGGAAAACCATATGTTACACAAAAAAGTAAGCTGCAAAAACTGGAAAAGCCGTTAAAAAACATGAGGTTAGTACGAGATATTTAAAAGACATTTCGCTTGATATTTTAGGCCGTACAATAGTCTAACTTGTAAATAGCTACCAATGCTACTCGATATTACAACTTAAAACTCTTTTTATTTTTACTCTGGCTTTGTTGATACAGTGCGTTAAGTTTTGGATTAGGTATACACTCTATAAATGGCAACACTGCGCGTCGTCGACTTCCCACTACATATCTGCTTCGTTGACTCGTCGTTTGCTCGTCGCCGTCGGCAAATTTGATGCATATTGTCATTATACCGTGGTTGTTTAAAGGTATAACAGCGTAGAGTTTTAATTTATTTTTGTAAACATGTCTGTTTATATGGCCGCGGAAAAAGCTCAAATAATAAAATGGTTTTATAGTGGCAATTCTGCGCAACAGTGTGTAGATTTATTTTCTGTGTTTTTTGAGGGAAGACCAATTCTTGTGTACAGTCAATTTATAATATTGTTAAAAATTTTGAGAGTTGTTATTGCTCAAAATTGCAGAAAATGTCACGCTCAAGAAGTGTTACCAGAAAAAGTTGAGGAAAGAGAATACCGGGATACACAAATTTGTGCAACAATCGAGGTAGATTCAACACGTTCAAGTAGAAGCGTTGCTAGAGAGTTAGATGTTAGCAATGTTACTGTAACGAAAGTATGGAAAAAGCACGGTTACAAGAATTTTAAATATTCGAAAACGCAGCAGCTTTATCCAGACGATTACTTTCGAAGAATGGAGTTTTGTGAAACTCTAATAACGAAGGCTAATAGTGAACCAAATTTTATTAAAAACATTTTATTCACTGATGAATCTTCTGTTTCGTTAGTAGGGAGACACAATCCTTCCATTACGAGGTATTGGGCGCGGGAAAAACCAGCACAGAAGTGTTGTTTACCGAACTCAACGTCCTCAAAAAGTTAACGTCTGGAACTGGCATTTTAGGAGACCACATAATAGGTCCATTTTTTATTGAGGGCAACTTGAATAGTAGAGTATACCTCGATTTGTTACAGAATCATGTTCTTCCCGCTATTCTCAATCTTCCTGATGTAAATCTGGAGAATGTTTGGTTTCATCAAGACGGCTGTTCAGTTCACAACGCTCGAATTATTAGGGAGTATTTAAACAATACTTTCCCGAATCGAGTTATCAGTGGAACAGGCGATATTAAGTGGCCTGCGCGATCTCCAGATCTTACACCATGGACTTCTTTTTTTGGGACATTTAAAAAGCATTATCTACGCTCATCCTGAGGCTAGAGCCCAAAATTTGGATGAATTAAAAAATCGAATAAGAGAAGTCTCCAATTCTGTTACAGCAGAAACTCTTTCATCTGTTCGCAGAAGTTTTTATGACAGATTGGGGTACTGTTCAGCCGTAGAAGGTCAACTATTTGAACCATTTCTGTAGGTCATAAAGAATTATTTTTTATTTTATTAGGAATAATATTTTAATTTTCAATAAGAGTATATTTTTTATTTTATCTTTTTAAAGAAATACGCTTTTATTTTTAATTCAACCACAAAAAAATTTTCACATTAATAAAAATCGATAACAATGCACCGATTAGGTCAGTGCATTTTTATCGAATTTCCTACTATTAAAATCGGTATACGTAATGAAACATGAGATCGGACGACAGAGAAGTACATCCCAAACGTTGTTGTGAGTTACTAAACTAAAATAAATGATTTTTGTCGGTGACGATAGTCTTGGGTCGGAGAACGAACATTTGCAACGTTGCCGATTTTAGCGCTCCGTATAGTGTGCAATACCTAATCAACAACTTAACACTATATAATATATCATAAAACTTTTCTATTTTAGATCACATGCAAATGTAAATTTAGCTGTAGAAGACGTGGTTGACATGAAGATTAAGCTTTTCGACTTGTATCATGACCTTGAATTCAACGAGCAAGGCAGCTATCTCATGGGACTATTGCAAGTTTTACTAGTTTCAACGTCGCTGCCATGGTATTTGATGATTCATCAGAAAGTAGACGACAGTGTACCGTAGATTTTGCAGTTCCAGATGGGCAAGGTAACGTGAAAAGAGTTGTAAAAAAAGTTTTGGACTATTGAAAGTCCGCAAAAGATTACTAAGCTTGTTAGGCGTAAAAGGAGGGGCACACAACCTTCAAGGATAAACGAGGAGGTGTTAAAAAATTTAAGTACACTCTTCATGATAGACAGATGGTAAAATATCACATCAATAGCTTCCCGAGGGACGAGAGCCACTACAGCCGATCAAAAATTGAAAAAGAATATCTCAGTCCGGACCTCAATGTTAATAAGCTATTTAACACTTTTAAAACAAAATATCTTGACTGTACCACAACATACAAAGTTTGTAGGAGAGTTTTTATGAAGGATTTTCCGAGTTTTTCTTTTAGAAGACCTAGAGTTGACACCTGCAAGACTTGTGATTTCCTTTTTTAAGAAGCAAGGACAAATACCTTAATGTATCTAGAAAATCTAAAACTGAGTTGGAATTACATCATAGAAAAACAGGTAAAGCTCTTAATGTTATTCAAGAAGACAGTACGAGCAATACTCTTCGAGATAGCGATACCTGTACCCTTACCATGGATCTACAAAAAGTATTTTCGCTTCCTAAATTGACGATGTATGACAGCCACTAATTGTTATGCTACAATTTTGGAATACACATAAAAGATACGTCACAAGGGGTAATGTACATCTGGCATGAAGGACAGTCGGATCGTGGTGAGAACCAAATGGCATTATGTCTTCTACAAGCCTTGAATACAGGACAGCTTTCAACTTATAAGCGAAAACTATGTATACGGAGCGACAACTGTACAGGGCAATTGAAAAATCGAATGTTTATTTTCTTATACATTTTCTTAGTAGCCAATAGACATTTTGATACCATCGATCATAAATTTTTAGTTTCCGGTCATAGTTTCATCTTCACAGATAGAGATTTTGCTCTTATCGACAAACGTGCAAAACGTTCCAAGCTTCAAACAGTAAATGATGTAAAAACGTAATTGCTGATGCTAGACTTTCCAGGCCTTACAAAGTGTTAGATATGGAAGAATGTACTTTTTTTGATTTCGATAAAATATCATAAAATTTATAGACAGATAAATTTATAGATAGATCTAAACTTGGCATTACTCAAGCATCGTGGTTACGTGTGACGAAAGAAGATCCAGGAACAGTATTGTACAAGAAAAGTTTCAGTAACTTAATGGGATGGGAGAAGTGTATTGAAAAAAGGTGTGAATGTCCAAAAGTTAAAGTCAACGGAGCTCTTAGCCTTTCCTGGTGTTCAGCAAATTAACGAAAGTAAGAAAAAAGACCTTCGCGCCATACTGGAATTCATTAACCAGAAAAATAGAGCATTTTTCATCTGTATTTTAGATTTTTAATCATATATTATTTAATTGTTAATAAAGTGGAATTTCGATAAACGATTATATATTTGTTTTATTGTTTTGGATGTACAAGTTTTGTTTTTTATTTCTGGCAAATTTTAATTTTTACACTTGATCACTTAGCTCGACAATTCTTCAATTATCGCTCAACGGCCTAATAAGTAAACTGTATTAACAATACACTAAATCGTTAAAATATTGAGGAATTTTGCTTAAAAAAAGGTATTTTAAAATTTTTTTAAAGGAGTAGCAAAAAAAGAAGACTTCTTTGTGGAATTCCATTGAAACTGTGTTCACATAATTTCCAATCGCCATTTAAAAGTTTCATTACTTACGGTTGTTAGGCAGTCCTTATCCCGTAACAAATACGGGTGCTCTAATAGCCATACTGAACAGCACTGGAAAGCAGCTACTATAGTTGAATGGAGATCCTTTGAATGAGCCGGAGGAGGTCTCGAACATTGCGAAATTATATAATCGCAAAGCCATTTGACAGCTCTTTTACACTCCATGGCATCTAAAAGAAATTAATGACTCATTTGTGAAATTATTTGAACGATTTCGAATGATTTGAACGAAATATAGGAAAAATAATGACAGTAAGCCCTATAGAAAGGACATATGAACACTAGACATTAACCTAATCTCAACAAAATACCTCGTTTCCGATGGTAATCAAAATAAAATGGAAGCTTACTTACATTAAAGTTTATAACAAACACCAAAAACTTACAATAACCACGCAAAAATACGGAACGAAACTAAAGCACTAATAAAGAAAAAAACGACGAATACTGTTATTTTATTTTCAAAGATGGAAGCCGGCTTTTACGGACTGCAAAAGCAGATATAGGATTTATTACAAAACAAAGAAAAGAAATAAGTGAACTAAAGTAAATTCATCAAAGTTGTTCATCTTAGCATTGGAAAATGTATTAAAACACCTGGATGGGGAGCAAAAAGGTTTAAATATTGATGGTATAGGTCTGGTCCTTGGATGTTTGCGGATCATATGGTATTATTAAGCATGGAGAGTTATCTCCCATTAATCATTGCATGTTCAACACTTATTTCATCTTCCAAAATCAATTCTACATACAAATATAGGATGCCCCAATGAGCTCCTCACTCTCTCCAGTAATTGTTAATATCTTTATGGAAGACTTTAACCATATTGGCTACGATATGTTGACGATAGATTCGGCCCCACAGCAAGGATGCTTTGGTATCTTTTCAAACTTATCTGAATGGTATACTACCTAGTATCCAGTTCACGATGGAGATGGAAACTGATTCATCCCTACCGTTTCTCGACGTTATCATAAACAAAAACCAATCCCAAGGTTTTCATCACTCTGTTGAAGCATCACAAGCCCTCATCCAAAACGATTACAGTAAAAATCACATCAATAGGAGCATCCACAGGCATCTATCTCACGCTCAATCTCAACTCAAAAACTTATCATACGAAAGCTTTTCTTCCTTACATTAAAGGTGTTACTGACAAAAGTTGGGATAATAAAGGCCCCCAACAAAAACTTTCATATCTTGTTCGGTCAGTCAAAGACAACATTCCAAATAAACATCATAAAGTTTGTGAAATTCCTTCTGCAGACTGCCCCCGATCTTACATACGCCAAACCAATCATAGAATCCAAAATAGGATTTACGAACATTCCATTTCTGTTCGCACTTCTTATTCAATTTCAGCTCTAGGTCAGCAGCATCTTCATACAGGCCACAAAATTGATTTTGAAAACTTCAGAACCATAATACCCATCCGTTTCTATAAACCAAGACATCCGAGAAGCCATATAGAATGAAAAACTGCCGAATTGTCTAAATAAAAGAGATGGCGGCACCCGGTTCTTTCTGAATTAGTAACAGAACAAAATAGCTGATGTCGTGGAACGTATAATGAGATTCAAGTGACAATTGGTACGGCATGTTGCTCGCAAAAACCCTGAAAAATGGACGCAGACACTCCTTTGCGGCACTGTTTTCTGATTTCTTTCGATAACGCTCTATATTCATCGCTTGAGACGATGAATAGAGGTGGACGGAGGGTATGAAACATATCGTGGACAAAAAGATCAAATCCTACAGAAACTTCAGAAGTAATTACCGAAAATGCAATGGCCACTATAAAAGAGATCAACAATTGACCAAGTATATGATTCAGTTACATAACTTACCTGATCCTTTGATGTGAATTCGAGCCAACCCAGACAATAGTTCTAAAGCTGCAAGAGAGACGTTTAAGTCCGTTTTCCACGACGATATCAAACGGTGGCAAACCAGATATGTAGCTCTTACAAACAAAGCATGAGCTGAATCTAAAAATAAGGTATTAATATTACATAGGGACGTTGATTTTTGAGTTCAGAGTTTCTTCTTATTATTCTGTCATCAATGTTTTACCATTATTAGTAATACCCACTGTATAACCGCACATCATGACGTTGATTTATAAAATGACTAAGTATCTGATGTTGTCTAACTGTATTGTAATAAGCAGTATTTCGAGTATTATATAATATTGGACTTAGGTCGCCTTAGGAACTTAGCTAAGGCCGCCATGTTCATATTGTTGTCATATTGTAAAGTGTCACGATTATTAAAAGCACACTTCTGTTTCGAAAGCAATTGAGTTATTTTAATATTCCATTTTATATTCAATCAACGAATCAGAATAAACGCAGACTTCATCAAGTAAAGACGTGTCGTTCATATCACTATCATGGAGCATAGTCCAAAACTGCTATGATGGGCTTGAGTGTCTTTTTGTCCAACTCTTTTTTCTTCTTCATGTACCATGTCCTTTCAGAACGTTGGTTACCATCATAGCTATTCTAATTTTATCCACTGCCACCCTAAATAGCATGCTTGTATCTACACCACACCAATCTCGCAAGTTCTTCAACCATGAGGTTCTTCGTCCTGGACTGCGTTTGCCTGCTATTTTTCCTTGCATGATATTTTGTAGCAATCTATATTTGGGACCTCTCATTACATGTCCGAAATATTCCAGCTTTCTCTGCTTGATGCTTTTTATGATCTCAGTAGTCTTGCTGAGACGTTCTAGTAATGTGTAGTTACGAATCTTCTCCACCCAGGAAACTTTTAAAATTCTTCTATAGCTCCACATTTCGAAAGCCTCAAGGCGATTTAGATCGATTTTATTCACAGTCCAGGACTCGACAGCATAAAGTAAGACCGAGAACACGTAGCAGCGAAGTAGGCGGATCCTTAATGCCAATTTTAGGTCTCTGTTACATAACACCTTGGACATCCTTCTAAAAGCAGCTCTAGCCTGCTCTATTTTGGATCTAATTTCGCCGTGATTTTCTGAATTACAATTTAATTGCTGTCCAAGGTAGACGATTTTATCAACTTGCTCAAGTTTGATATTATTTACATTAATAGACGGTTTTATATTCTGTTGTTTACTTATTACGAGTATTTTGGTTTTCTTATGTTAAGATCCAGACCTGCCTCCCTACAACTCTCAACGACACTATCCAGTAGTGTTTGCAGATCTTCTTGACTAGAAGCTAGGAGTACTGTATCGTCCGCATATCGCAAATTATTGATGACTTCGCCGTTCACAAGTATTCCTTCTTGTTTTTCAGAAAGTGCTTTTCTGAAAATTCTTTCGGAGTAAACGTTAAAAAGCAGGGGTGACAAGAGGCATCCCTACCGTACTCCTCTTTTAATATTGAGAGCTTGTGATTCCACACCATCTACTAAAACTGATGTTGTTTGATTCCAATATAAATTTGCAATTATTCGAACATCTCTGCCGTCCAAGCCAATGTCTTTTAGAGCTTCGATCAATATAGAGTGCTTCTTCTTCTTAAGGTGCCGTGCATTTCTGCGTAGGCGTCCATCGTACATCGTCTTGTCAGGTGAGCTGTTAAATATTCTGGTTTAAATAATTCTGTTTTTAGCAGCATTGCGAAGCATTTCATAGCTGTGGATTCCTGTCCATTGTCGAATATTGCGCAGCCATGACATTTTTTTACGTCCGAGACCTCTCCTACCCTCTATTTTCCCTTCGAGTATCAGTTGCTGAAAAGTGTATCGTTCTCCTCGTATAATGTGCCCCAAGTATGCAGTCTTCTTACTTTTCACATAATTAAAAAGTTCCCTATCCTGTAAGCCCGCTCTTCTGAGTACTTCCTCATTTCTGACCCTGTCCGTCCATGATATTCTGAGCATTCGACGCAGGCACCACATTTCAAACACTTCAAGTTTGTTAATGGAACTGGCCTTTAATGTCCATGCTTCCATTCCGTACAGGAGAACAGGCCACACGTAACACTTAAGCATCTTGTATCGGAGGTTGAAGTCCAATTTGCGATCAGTCAGAAACTTACGAAGCCTCAAAAAAGCATTTCTGGCTTGTTCAACTCTGCTCTTTATTTCATTCTCGGGGTCCCAACCCTCATTCAGCAAACATCCCAAGTATTTGAATTGCCTGACTTGTTCGATTTCTTCTCCAGAGACATATATCTTTGCGTTGGGGTAATCATTTCTACTTATAATCATTGATTTTGTCTTCTTGATATTTATTTTCAAACCCCGAGCTTCACTTGCAAGAGTTAGATTATTTAAAAGGCATTGAAGATCTTCGATGTTATCTGCCACTATGGCTGTATCATCGGCATACCTGATGTTATTAATAAATATGCCGTTAACTTTAATACCCTTATTAGAGTCTTCTACTGCTTCTGCGAAGGCTTTTTCTACGTATAAATTGAACAGCATTGGGGACAGTATACAACCTTGCCTTACTCCTTTTTTAATGGAGAAATCTTCTGTTTCGTTGAAATTTTGAAGACGTACTGTTGCTGTCTGATTCCAATACAGATTGGCGATGATTCTTATATCCTTTGCATCCAATCCCAATTCTTGTAGGTATTTTATCATCAATTCATGTTTTACATTATCGAATGCTTTCTCGTAATCGATGAAACAGATAAAAACATCCTTTCTTTGATCTAAACAATTCTGTATCAATGTTTGCATACTAAAGATTGCTTCTCTCGTGCCAAGTCCATTTTTGAAACCAAACTGACTCCATCCACTGACCTCTTCACATTTCTTAAACAATCTAGTGTGAAGTATTCTCAGGAAAAGTTTTAAAAAGTGACTCATTAGGCTTATTAGTCGGTGGTCCTTGCAGAAGTTCGCACGTGGTGTTTTTGGTAGGGCAATAAATGTAGATCGAAGCCAATCTTTTGGAATCTGGCCCGTATCGTAGATGTCGTTAAAGAGCTTGACAATAATAGAGTGCTTAACACGATCAAATGCCTTTTGAAAGTCAATAAAACAACAGTATATGTCTACAGATATATCACGACATCTTTGAGCAAGTACGTTCATTCCAACAGTGCCTCTCTCGTTCCAAATCCGTTACGGAAACCAAACTGAGTGTCATCCAGGTATTCCTCACATTTATTGTAGATACGACCATGTATTACCTTCAGAAAAATTTTCAATAAGTGGTTTAACAAACTGATGGTTCTATAATCAGCACAGGTTTTTGCTGTTGTCTTCTTAGGTAGAGCTATAAACAGTGAGTTAGACCAACCATTAGGTAGTTGTCCGCTTTTATAAATGGTATTGAAAAACAAAGTTATAGCCTCTAAAACATTGCTATCCTTTATAAGCTTATATATTTCAGTTGGAATTTCATCAGGACCAGTCGCTCTGCCATCTTTTGATGATTGTATGGCCTTTATAACCTCACAGCGTGTTATTAGGGGTCCGTCGCAGTTAGTAATATCAGGAGGTGAACTACTCCTATCGTCTTCGAATAGGTTCGTGACGTAATTTTCCCATTCTTTAAGTTTGTCCTTTACTTCGAATATTACTTTACCATTTTCATCCTGTAGCAATAAATTTTGTTTCTTATTGAAGATACCAGCCGCTTCTTTTACTTTTTTATACATGTTAAACGTGTCGTATCTTTTTCGAGTTCTTCAATGTCATGACACTGTTTGGCTAGATGTTGACTCTTTGCTTCTCGTATTTTACGTCGAATTTCTTTTTGTATGCTATTGTAAAGTGTTTCGTTGGTTTCTGCTAGTCGCCGTTGTTCCATCAAATCCAGTATATCATCTGTCATCCAAGCCTGCTTTTTTGGCTTTGACCTGCCTTGTAAATTTCTCACACAGATTTCTTTTACTGTCGTTACGATTTTATTTAAGCCCTCATCGACGTTTTCACCAATATTTTCCCAAATAAAATTTTCGTTCAGTTGTCTTTGAACTGATTCCTTAACTTTCTTTTTGTCCAACGCCTCTCTTCAATGGGAACTCGTTAGTTTTTTTGATGAAATTACACACTTGCTGTTGATTTTTTATAGATGTTATAAGTCTAGCGGGTGTATCTGTAATCAAAACGACACTGACTTAGAGCCTTGATTATGTCGTATCGAAAGCCTTTTGAAAATCAATAAAAACTAGTACTAGTTGACAGTTGCATTTGATGGTTTTCTTTATTAAGGTTTTTAGCGCTCATTGGTTCCGAAACCTAAGCGGAAAACGGCTTGTTTTATCGGTTAATAGAGGTTCAGTTTTTTTCTGGTGTACAGAGAACTATTTTGGTAAAATACAAATGAGAGAGGAGACTTGTAGGTATATAGTTTTCGATTTCCATAGGGTATTTTTTATATAGGTTAATATCATTAAAACGTTGTTCAAATTGCTTGGAATTAAGTTGTTACATAATCGAAAAGTTAAATAAGCTTTAAATTTTTTTCAAGGATAATCTTCTCTCCAACTGTAATAGCGTCCACTACTACGGGTACTTTACCATTTTCCATCTTTTTGTCCTTGGTAAACTATTGTACACCTTCTGAACCCTGGTTAAGCACTCTCCTTCTTTTTTTCAATCTCTTCAGGTTCGTCTCGCAGTATATCACAGTAGAGTCACAGTATGCTCTGTGTGGTTAGTTCTATTACATTAAAAAGAACCTTCATCTGCTTCCAAATACTACAGATCCTTTTCCTTATTAGTTTTGTGTAATATAGAAGACAATTTATATTTTTTCTTTATGAATTATATACAAACAACGCTCTTACCTGAACGAGAGCACATTTGCTCTTACTAGTGAGACTACTGATGATAAAAACGTTCATACTCAAATATTTTTATTAATGAAATTATGTGATGAAAATATCTGTAACATGATGACAAATTTTTCAAAATGGTGTCAAAACTACGAAACAAAATCTGTTATTAGCTTACAGGGTGGGAGGAATGACAAATCAATTATATATTAATAATATGTGAATAAAATGGAGGCGAGTTATTGCTTAGATAATTCTGAATCTGTTGGAAAAGTGTTTTACAATATTTTATACATGTCATCAACGACATTTCTACTTTGTCAACTGCTCAGAAATTCTTTATTAGTCATTTTAGAACTATTTTAATTATTTTGGTTTATTAAAGAAGGCTTATAAAGAAAACTGTTAAATATACGTTTATTGTCTAATTATGAGTTCTGTCAATGTCATGCTTGTACGTGAGAGAATGACAATAAATATTCAAAAGGTTATAGGTCCAGGCCACTCTTTGGTAAATAGCTGGAGAAAAATCAAGTAACAGTTATACCGTTAAAGGATTTTTGATTGTTAACAATTTTCTGTTCTCACAGGAGAGAATTTTAACAGTTGGCAATTTCTTCTTGAGGTAAGACCTTATTAAAGTGATTGAAAGTTTAGACCCATCAGACAGAGAAAAATTTTACTTGCATTCAAATCAACTTTCTGGACATAATCGTCTTAAGTTGTCTTAAGAATCAAGAATCATAACAACGAAATGACCATAAACCGACTAAGGTAATTTTTATCAATGAAAGGACAGTAAGGTTGCGAAATGGAAACAGTGACATCTATACGACGAGAGTCGAGGAGGTCAGAAAGTTTAACCTAGTGGAATATTCATAGTTTAACTCAACTCGTTTCAATTCACACCACTGGTAAGTTCCCTTTAGTTTTTTTTGCACATAGTGTGTATTAACCACATCGATATTCAAGACGACGATGTTCGTGACTCAGCTGTTACTTGTTTAAAATGTGCTTTGCGAAATTTTCATTTGTCCCAGATTTTCTGGGTGGTCCTTTAAAACAGTACAGAAAGTGGGCCTATTTCCCTAAGGACAAAACTCGTTCCCCAAGGCTTCAGGGAGAGGTTTATATAAATCATTTAGTTTCAAAAAAATTTGATTATACTTACTCTGAAATTGTATTGATTATATTTACTCTGAAAATAATTTGGCAGATTTAATGACAAGCCATTAATGTAATGTTTTAAAATGGAGGAGTGTTGGATATAGGTTGGTAGTTAGTGTGTAGTGATAGGTTATTGTGCAATTATGTCATATTATTAGTTATGTCAACGTCATGCTTCAACGTAAGTGAGATAATGGCAATGTAGAAAAAAATGTAGCATGTTGATTCTATTAAAAGAAGTTATCCATCAGTAATGAGTTTATTTAAGTAATTATTAAGCTAATATAAAAAAAAAACAACTCGTCTCCATTTTATTTTCAGTGGGAAAGTTAGTTCAAAGCAAAAAAACAATCTCAATACACAAAACATACCTAAAGGGAGCAATAGTGGATCATAATCATTGGAACCAAATTGATCGGGTGTTGTAGAACGATCACTGCTAGCCATGCTCGCCATACTTGCTGTGTCAGAAGCTATACAAGCCAAAATTCAAGCCAATACAAAAACGTATACGGTAGATAAAATAAAAATAATAATAATAATAAGTGTACTTTTCCAAATGTTATAGTATAAAATTATCGTGTTTTTTGTTGCATTGGGTTTATTCATTATTAACTGAACTAGAGACTTTGCAAAATGCATCTTATTAATAACAAAACTGTGCTGAAATTGCTGAAAATGTAGGATCAAGGATAGGTAAAGGTTTAGGATCGGCTTCCCTTCTGTTTTCGGGGTGGAAATTTTGCTGGGGAACTGATTTTTTTCCACTCTTTTAAAATATTCGCACCTTTTGAATTTCCACGACCAGGAGCTTTATTATTTTTCATACGTTTCAGAGCTGCTATTATTTCACCCCCCGTACTCCAATACTTGACGGAAATTCATTTTATATAACAATAAAACTTCCACAAAATTTATTATAAAATCTTATCACTATATGATATTTTTAAATTCCCTAGAATTTTTGGCAAAATTTCCCTAGATTTCCCTAACAACTTGACAACCAAATTTAGCCTAGAATTGACCACCTAAGTCTGATGTGAGAATGAGCGGGATTTTTAAAAACCATTCCAAACACTTCTAATTTGTGTGTATAGGTCACATAAGAAAATGGAAATATTGGTTTTTTAATTGTTTGTAGAATAAATAAATACTTTTTAATAAGGACGTAATTCGCCCTTTGTAAAATACCACCACTCTAGTTACCAACGGGGAATCACATGAACAGCTAGAAGAAGAAACTAGAAACTAAAAATCGCCCGAGGCCAATATACTTTAGCCCAGGTGGAACCCCAACGTAATTTGCAGTTCGTGAAATTTCACCACCCTAGTCTCCGACGGAAAATCACATGAACAGAATTCAGTGATTCCCCGAATAATACGATTTCCAAGTAGATGATATTCAGAATTATGTCTGTATTTTATTGTTAATTTCCATAGATTCTAATAATGATAGCTAAGGCCATTCTTTTGAATGTGAAGAATTTGAAATTCGTCATTAAAAGAATGATTATGATCTAGAAGGTGAAGTGCGTATGTAGAATCTGTTTTTCTATTATTGAAAGTCCTTTTATGTTCTGCTATACATTTGCTAAAAGTTCTACCAGTTTAACCAATGTAAGTTTTTGGACAGTCGCCACATTTAATATATTTTAGGATATTTCAACAGGCTTTGAGTCTATCTTCGGTTCTGAATCTACTTGATCGGTTCTCAATAAAGACGAAACATGGAGTATGAAGGAAAACAGTCTTTTAGAGAGAAAATTCAATCACTCATGCTTTGCAGTGCATAATATGCCGCTCCTAGAACAAATTACAGAAACTTACTTCTGGAAGATTAAGGCATTTTCTAAGGTTGAAGCATTGGAATTGGGGCAAAACTAGAACAGTGGAGACAGTTTTTAAGGAAAAAGGTTTAACAGTAGGACAAAAACAGAGTATTTGGAATGTTCAAATAAATATAAATAAGATAATAATTTTTTACAGTGAAACAAGACCAAACTAATTGCAAGTAATGTGATAATTGTATTTAAACTATTACAAAGATTTTCTCTAATGTAAAACACGTAAGAGATACTTTAACATTTGGAAACTTTCATGCTGACAGTATACAATGAATAATGAAAACTTTTTAAAAAAGATTCACTGTATATTCCGTGCTACTTTACATGAATATATTCTTTTGAACGGTTGAACAAAATGTGAGCAAGGTTTTCATAGCCTATCACAATTTATGAAACTTTCAAAGTACAAAAAACACTACAAAATATTTATTTACTAGTTATTAATGAAAATATCATCTTTACTTCGCATATAGACTAAAAATGATGAAAAATTATCGATTCTAATAGTTTTTTCGAGATTATAAAGAAAGTTTTCAGTAATTTTAAGCTTTGTTTATTAACTTACGACTTAGCTTTTTCTTGAGCATGTTTCTCTATTCTATATAAATAAATCAAAGTGTATGTGAGATAGCTTCGACATTTTTTATTCGTTTGAAAAGCCTCTCGATGCAATTATGTATGGAATATAAACTGTCAAATTTTCCATGATTCTGACGCACAAATTAAGCTGAATTTGATCGATGGCGTCGGTTTTGTTGGCTTTGTGGCATATTTGCATATATCTACAACTTAAGAAAACCCTACAAGAATGAATCTAATGAGGTCAAATCGGGTGATCTCGATGGGCAGTTCACATCACCTCGTGCTCGTACAGAATGTCTAATATAGCATCTGCTGTGTTACACATAGCGTCGTATTGTTAAAACCACATATCTTTGGTGTCATTATCATCCAATTCAGGACAAAATAAGTTGAAAATCAACGTCGTTCTCAAAGAAATAAGGATCGCTGACGCTGACAGTCCAAAATACACACTAAAAATTGACTTTTTATGGATGTATTGGACGCTCTTGGTTCTTATCTGGATTGGTATCGTCCCAAAATCGTGTTTGTTCACGTACCCACTAATCCAAAAATGGGCCTCATCACTATAGTCGATTATCTTCAGCTCCTGGGGAAGTTAAATGTTGTAAGAGTGCAGATCAATGTCACTTTTCCCATCTTCGTGTGAACTTCCCTCTTTCATTTTTTAAGTGGCTCTTATTTTAATCGTCTGGCTTACTTTTTAGCATCCAGCATCCCCACTATATAAGCTACAATCTTACATCAGTGAACACCAAAGAACATCAATCCGCAATTCCAATTCTATCTGACCTAGTCCAGCAGCATCTGTCATAAGACAGATTTGCATAACTATCAATCCAGTTTGTTTTTATAAATAAAAGATTATCAGCGAATCCGTAGAAATCTAAAAACGCCCTGACTGTTTTAATACAAGTGATCACGACACCCGATTACCTTCAATATGGATACCCCTCAGCAAAATAAATGAATGTCCATTTATTCCAACTTTACACCAGCCATCTCGCATCTAAACATCACGTCAACGAACCAAGTCACCATGGACAGTAGCAGATTAAAATAGCAGAGGTGCAGTAAATAGTGAACTGTGTAGTAGTCTCAGTAAACTGTCCAGATAGAAGTCCTGACAATGATCCAAACAGAAAGTCGAAAGCTCGACGTAGCAAAATTCGACGCGGTCCAACTTGGAACTAAGTATAATATTAATTTCTCTTTTAATATTAATTTATTTATCAGTTCCATTGGTGAATCTATAACTCTAGAAGAGAAACTATAACAGTCAGTAGAATAGAGAAACACGTTACGTACATGTTATAACAAAACACGTCTTCTTAAGAAGACGTGTCTAATTATATTTATATCAGGCTTCTTTTAAGTGAAGTCAATTCGAATACATGAAAACTTGTTTCTTTATACGAAAAGTTGCTCAGTGTACACAATAAAACGTTCTTCTCTTACCTGAACTCAGAAGATTAGAACCTTCAGTGGAAGCTAGAGTAACCTGTTCGACTTTTTCAAAAATAGCCGAATCTTGCACACAGAGGAAAAGACCTCCTAAGAGCATATGCGTATTTTGAGGATCTGATTCAATTTGTAGAGCATTCATCAATAAATTCATTAATTTAGGTTTTAGTTGAAGGAATGTGATGGGTTTTTCGTTAGAACCTGGAAAGAATATTTGAATTTATTTAACTAAGCGCAAATATTTATCTGTGTTGAGTTGCTATCATCAAGTCCTCGTAGACACCTTGTCTCAGGACCAGCAACTTCATGTAGAGTCGTACGTTGCCATGTTATCAAATCCACTGGTAACTTTAACATCTTAATATATAAGATCAAATAATTAAACTAAATTTAAACCTATAACTTTAACGTTTTTACCCAGATATTTAGTGGCTCAAAACATGTACACGCTAGACACTGATGATGGAATATGGATTCCGAAAACTTTTTGTTGTTGTGATATACTGCCTACTAAGCGAAAAGGGGGTATCTACACTTTTTTCCAAAAATGAGATATTAATGTCTAGTCAATAATTACACCTTATTCTATCTAATACTAAAGCGAATTGGTCGTATCTACTTTACAAATATTATATTTTAGGCTATATATTTAGAGGTATCTACAAAGCATACGTTATATACTAAGCAATTTGGCGGTAACTACTGATACTAGGCAATAATGGTTGTATCTACACGAACTTGTGCAGTTACGGCTGGAACTGCTTAGTACACGTCACTTAATGCCAGAATCGCTTAGTAATTTTATATAATAGTAAGCACATTTATTCATCGTGTCTAGACATATCATACACAAAAATAGTATTTCTTTTAGTTTATTTGTTTATTTTTGGTGTAATACAACCTAGTAATATTAAAGTGTGTATTTAAATATTCAATTGTAAACATTGAAATATTGAATAGTGAATGATTTACTACAGATTTAGAGGTAAGTTGTTTATTTTGCTACCATAACCTCAAATTAAAATGTGTAGACTGATTTGTTTTACACGACAAAAAAAGGAATTTCATTGCGAATTTACTTATTTAGTTACTGATTCTTTGCAATGTTTTTACAAATTGAAGATACTTAATAACGAAATAATTTGTCATTTATTAATGCATTTTATTACAATCTAACTTTTGTGTTTATGGATAGAAAGTCGTGTAAAACATTTTTTTATTTTAGATGATGTAGTCTGATTTGTTTTACACGACAAAAAAGTACTACAATTTCATTGCGAATTTACTTATTTCATTTAATTACTGATTCTTTGCAATGTTTTTACAAATTGAAGATACTTAACAACGAAATAATTTGTCATTTATTAATGCATTTTATTAAAATCTAATTTTTGCGTTTATGGATAGAAAGTCGTGTAAAACATTTTTTTTTATTTCAGATGAGTAAAAGTAGAGGAAAAAGGTTGTGTGACTTAGCTATGGCCAGCTCAACATACATTAGTAGTGGTGTGGAATGGGAAAATATTATTGAAAATGCGCCAATTGTTTTATTGGAGAATAGTGATATTCAAATTCCAGCAAATTCTGTTGATACAACAAACATTACAAATTTGCTTTCAGATTCAGAAACTTTTATAGAAGCTGAAGTAAATACGTTGGAACTACCTGATTTGGGAACAAATATGACAATGGAGGTCGTATTGGACAATAATCCTGAATTAGCCAGCTATAATTGTAAAAATGAATTTCAGCCTGCCAGTTTAGAAGATGGTGGAAGAGAAATTGAAGAAAGAGATGAAAAAGAAATAGACACACGCTTTACTAAGAAAGGGGAACAACGAAGACGTAAAAAATTTAAATATTCAATTAGAGAAAGAAAAATAATTAAACAGAATAAACTAAAGGATTCACATTCTGTTAGGGATGGATGTGGTAATAACTGTAAGAAAACATGTAACACAAAAATAAATCAGGAAAGAAGAATTGATATAAACAATCAGTTCTGGAATCTAGACCGTCAACAACAGCATCAATTTATGTTGTCCAGCATTAGCCAGACAAACGTAAAACGTAAAACTGTTGGATTAGATTCTCGAAGATCGAATACTTTAAGCTACTCTTTAAAAACGGCGGACGGAGAATGTAAGTCAGTCTGTAGAACCTTTTTTCTTACAACTATAGGGTTTCACAAAAATAATGATAAAATTCTACAGAGGTTTTGTAAATCTTCGAACTCATTAATCTCACCAAAGCCACATAAAAACCGTGGAAGTCTACCTCATAATAAATTGGATCATACAGTAATAGAAAAACATATAGAATCTTTCAACCCATCGATATCTCATTATCGTAGGGAACATGCACCTAAGCGACGTTATTTACCAAGTGATGTAAACATCAAAGATATGTTTAGCAATTTTCAAGAGAAGAATCCTAAAATAACTTGTTCTTATGATTTATACCGCTCAATAGTACAAAAGTTAAATATATCTTTTTGTAACGTTGGGTCACGAAGAATGCGAAATGTGTGAGCATTTTAAAATCCATCCACACTCTGAAGAAAATTTACAAAATGATTGTTCCGAGTGTCAGAGGTGGTCCAATCATATAAAAAGGAGTAAAGATGCACGTCTGCTGTACAAAGAATATGCCAATAAGAAACCAGAAGAAGGAGAAATTATATATTCCGTTGATTTGGAAAAAGTAATAATGTTACCCCGGTGCGACATGTTTAAATCGGTTATATTTACTCAAAGATTGATTGCTTATAACGAAAGTTTCGTTCCGGTAGGGACTAAAAACAGAAACATTAAACCTGTAGCTGCAATTTGGCACGAGGCAATTCAAGGGCGAAAAAAAGAAGATATAATAAGTACCTATCACAAATTCTTAATATTTCAGAGAGATGCGAAAAAAATTGTTCTATGGGTAGATAATTGTACCTCTCAAAATAAAAACTGGGCGTTTTTTACGTTTTTAGTTTATATAATAAACTCAACTGATATTTCTGCTGAAGTAATAGAAATAAATTACTTCGAACCAGGTCACACATTTATGAGTGCCGACGCATTCCACCATCAAGTAGAAAAATCTCTACGAAAAACTAAGAAAGTTTACGACTTTCCAGATTTTAAAAAAGCTGTTCTACAAGCTAATTCTGGGAGGGTTATAGTTTTGGAAATGGAACTACATGATTTCTATGACTGGCAGGATTTTTCATCTGCTTATAAACTTAAAAAAGCACATAGTGAGCGGCCATATATTCAGGATATTGTTCAAATCACAGCCCACAGGGGATCAATGTCACTAATTTATAAAAACAATTTTAGTGGCCCTGATTTAACATTAAATTTTTTGAATGCAAAAATTACAAAGACTGGAATAATACCAGCTCCAGGAACCAAAGAAAACCCAAGAGGCATCACAGAAGAAAGACGAAATAATATTATTTCAAAGCTTTTAGAAGCCGACAATGCCATCATGCCAAAAAATCGTTTAAATTTTTGGAAAGAAATACCTACCACTCAGTACCTTGAGCAAAATAATGATGATGATTAATAATTAATTTAGTATTTAAGTTATTTTGTGGAAATTACTTTGATAATTAAACCAAATCATGTAAAAATAAATGTGTACATGTAGATACTGTGTTTTTATCTTAGTATCTAACCTATAATGGTTTCTTAATAATGGGGGTAACTACAATTTTTTTAGTAAAAAATTTAAATGGCCTAATTTTATTATATTTATAAAAAAAACAAAAGAAAACTATGTATATTTTCGATTTAAACTTAAATATTATACACAAAACAACAATGCGAATAAACGAAATCTAAATACCTTCTTAACTCAAAACAATGTAAATTACAGATACCCCCTTTTCGCTTAGTAGGGCAGTATAGCCCGATTGGGTTTTTAAATTATATACCTTTTATAAAGGATTTTAATAAATTAAAAAAAAAATAGTTTTAAAGATAGCCAACCAGGTAAAATACTTAAAAAAACAATTAGCAAATTAACTTACCTGTGTTGATTAATTCTTTAATGATAACACTCTGAAAATGTAGCGGCAACACCAACATGGACAGCAAGAGCTGAATGGACGACTTCCTGAGCTCTATCTTGTTTATATTGTTGCTTAACCTCAAATCTTTTTCCGGTAGCACGACTTCGAGCGCCGATATAAACGCCGGCATTAGGATTCTGACACCGTCCAAGTCTAAATGGAATAGGTTCGCCGAATTGATTAGAATTGCCGCCATGCATTCTCCGCATTCTCTATTCGATGGTACTTTCAAACCGTGAAGTACTGCCAAATAAAATCTAAAATGTTAATCTTATATAATATGCTGTTAATTTACTAAAAAATGTGGTAAAATTGAACGATCGATGAATCATGTCCGAGAAATATTTTGTGTAGAAAGAAATTGGTTATTTAAATGCAAAATCCACCAAGAAATATCCAATTACAGCTTATTTTCAAACCAGACACCAGAGTCATCTCATTTACCAACTTTCTTGTCCCGAATGTAATAAGCAGTATATAGGGCACCATTCCAACGCAACAGGCCACACGTTTTATTATGTTCAAACCTTGTTAGTTTGTAGTTGTTTTCTTGAAATATACGTTCCGAACAAACAAAATTTTATTACAATATTCATTTTTGAAAACCCGCTTTCTGCTGTAAATATTGTAATTGGCGCAGTTGACAGTAGGATTTTCCGAAATTGCAGCGTTTTCGAGTTAACCTTGCCGGATTATATTCATTTTTTATTTACACATTTAAATACAGAAAGATCCTACCCCTTTTTAGCTATTACCACACCGATCGGGTATTCTCAGCATCTTGTTGGCGAAAGAGACAGGTATTTCCAGTTCTGCACGAGCATTGGAGGAGGGAGTAACGATCCACTGCGTTTGAAGGGCATGATCCACTAAGATTAAAGCTAACGACGGTAATTTATATGTTAATCTCTCGAAAAATCCTTAAATTCTACAGTCACAGCAAGTATAAAGTCCTTACCTAGCAAGATAAACCGGTAAAATTTCTTCGCCAGTCTTTTTCGCGCACATTATCCGGCATAGAGTACCCAAAGCTTCTGCTCTACCGCTTTCGTATTTATCTATGGTTAGACCGGAAGGTAACTCGCTTGAATCGGTCATTGAACCAGGTTGGGAGAAGTTCATAGACGATTTACCATCCATGATAAACGAGTTAGGACGTTTGGGTTCTCCAGTATTTTCTAAAAGAATTATGTGTCAATAAAATCATGTGTAACTCAAAAATGAAACTTTTGTTGTTATCTTTAGCTTAAAAGCATTGAATAACATTAAAAGCTTCACCACTTTAATAATAACAAACGAACAGTAGTTCAAGATAACTCTAAACAAATATTTAGAATGGGTATCTTACTTTGTGACAGTTCACAACCAATGAAAGCAGCTTCGAAGAGCCACTCCCCAAAAAGGTGAAGTATAGTGTTGCATTTGGCTCGCCCCGGTGCCAACGGAGTCTTCGGTTCGGAACTAAAGGATGTCAGCGCTAAAAAGAAAGTAATAAAACATAATTTTATAAAATTGTAGTTAACTTACAAGAGATGCTCGAAGTGGACGAAGGTCCAGAATTTACGAGAGGAGGAACCGCTGAGCTACGACTTGTCGTGAGTCCTATTAATGATGTTTTGGGTATACCTATTAAAAATGTATTATATTAGCTTCAATCCATTTAGTAAATCGGTGATAAAATAACATTTTTTTATCCAATTTATTAAATGTATTCAACATGTAAACAAGTTTTTGTTTCTATAGTCATGTTTGTTACTTCATTTGTGTCATTGAGGCTTCCTAATGTTAGCCAGCTTAGATTGCTGTTTAAGGCTTGTTTCATCTAAAGTAACGCATCGATACAAAAAGTCACTTTTATTTTTCTTAAAACGCATTAAGCACTTCTTAGTAATAATAAATACTGTACATGGCGTATCATGATACTAATACTAACAAGATAGGATCTTCCCGTAGCACAAAATCGGTCGTGTTCGCGCATGCCGTCATTGGAGAGTAGAATTTGGATTCTTGTTAAAGTTAAATGGGATTTGTATGCATTTTGTGATAAAATTACTAGACGAAAATAAGTTAAGAGGTTTAATAATTACAATAATCGTACACATAAGGATATCTCTAAACTATTTATTAAAGATTATTTATTTATACATACAAAAAACTGACATTTCGAACGTGCAACTCTCCAATGACGTCACGACTTATGCGCAATATCTTATCTTCTTAGTCATAGTATCATGATGGCGTATATTTTCATTTAAGAAAAACGTCAATGACGTTAAAAATGACAGATGTCAATAAATAGACAAATGAAAGTGGGAAATTGAAAAATAAATTGATTTGTTGAAGCGTTTAACGAAATATATTTACAAAATGGCACTACTACGCCATTCATTCAGATCGTATTATTGATCCCATCTGATTGATTGATACACCTAGTTATTGGATAAAAAAAGGTATTTAGTAACACGTAAAAAGTGGTTATATTATTTAACAGTTTTAGCTTTTGCTAAAAATGTAAATGTTGGAATTAATCATCGAATATTCTGCGATATATTAACTAAAATACACAAATTGTTAAGATACATAGGACGGCAACAAGTAACAGAGGATGACTGAGACAGTATGAGAGCAAGTAAAGATATCTAACAAATTCGGTACTACATGATGGAATTCAAAAGGTAATTTGTACAAACAGAGGTTACTAGTTTTACTTTCAGGTGGCTATAT